TGGCCTATACAAAAACAGCCGACACGCTCGCTACGGCGGCCTATCTTTCCCGCAAAAAGCACACACGCATGACAACCATCAAAACAATACACATCACCCAGAAACACGGATAACCGTAATCCCACGTCAACTCCGGGAAGTGCTTCTGGAAGTTCATGCCGTACACACCGGCCAGGAACGTCACCGGCGTGAAGAGCAGCGACACACGCGTTAGCACCGCCATCAGCTCGTTGGTACGAAAGCTCTGGAGGGAGATGTGGAGATCGAGCAGCGTCTTGGCATCATCGCGTACTTCCAGCGCGCGGTCGCTAATCTCGATGCACGACGCACACATCTGATCCGCCATCTCACGCGAACAGAGACGCAGCTTCGTGAAGGCCTTCGCCAGCACCACCTGCGTGAGGTTCAGCATGCGGTGCTGCACGCTCGTGCGGCGGTGTAGGTGGTGCAGGAAGCTGTTCATCTCCCCCTTGTTCATCGGCGAGCGGTCTTGGTCGTCCAGCAGGCGGCGCAGAAAGGGAGAGCGGGAGCTGCCGGCGAAGTGGTGGAGAATACGCATGTCCACGTAGTGGCCCGATGCCACGCGGCCGGCGTTCGTCGTGGTCTCCACGAAAAGCTTCGCCTCGCACTTATCCAAAATATCCGCGTGCACGTCGATGCTGGTCTGATAGGTGCGAATCGCGTCGTCAATGATCTTTAGCAGGAACTCCTGGAAAGACACGTCGTTGTTCTCGATGACCTTGCGCCACAGCAAGCGCAGGTTCGCCATGCTGTGGGTGTCAACGCGATGCAGGGTGATGACGACGTGCTGCTTCAAGTCCACCACGATGATCCACCGGTTCGTCAGCTCCATCACGCTATCGTCGGAGATGGCGATCTTGTCGGTTGCCACGCGCATGTTCAGCAGGTACTGCCCCGGGTAGTTGGGCGACTCGCACACCTGCGGCAGCACCAGCATGTGTTCGCGATCTACCAAAAAAGACTCGCACAGCTTGAAGCGATTTGTGAGGAAGCGCAGCGTGGCGTTGTAGCGCTTGCGGCTGGGGTCACGGCCCGTCACGGCGATCCAGTACCAGTTGAGGCTCTGCTCCAAGTACGAGGACTTCGAGCTGGGCGACCGCGAGGAGCGGGAGGGCAGGCTCGTCATCTCCTCCCACGCCTTCCGCTCATCCGGCGTCATCTCGGGTAGGTGAAAGACCTGCGAGTCGACCGAGGGCAGCCCCAACACCGCGGCGTCTTCCTTGCTGCGCAGGGTGCCAGACGAGCTCGCCGGCTGCTTGACGAGGACGACCTGCGCGCGGCCTTTGTGGAGAAAAACGGGATCCCGCATCTCCGACGCGTGCAGCTCCACATCGCTGAAGTGGCTGCCGCTGCGGCCACGGCTGTTGAAGTACTTGACGTGCACCACGTCCTCGCGGTTGAGCTCGGCGCGGACGCTGGAGTCAGTCCCGACCCGTATCGCCTCCTCACGGTTGAGGAAAGTGCCGTACTTCGCCGCCTTCTCGCGGTTGTCGGAGCCGGTGAAGGAGCCGGGCAGCCGTGCGAGCGCAGACGCAACGGCGGCGCTACCTGCGCCCCGCCCGCTGCCAGACACGGCCACGCTGTTTGGCAGCGGTGGAAAGCCACCCGCTGCGTTTGGGCTCGCCACGTTCCCGCCCGCCCCCGCCGCACCCCGCTGGGCAAGCGCGTCATCGGACGGGAGTGACTCGTACCCGGCCACCCGCCTCCGTTCCATAGGCTGCGGCGCCACGGGGTACACCGCTTCGTCGACGCCCGCCATGCGGGGCCCGCTGCTGCCGGTGATGCCGCCGCCACCACCCGCGCTGAGCAGCGGCGAGCGCGCCGCCGCAAATCCGCACGGGGAGGCGGCGGGATGCAGGATAGCCGAGTCGTGGTCGATGCTCGTGTCGTCGAGGCGGGCGTTCAGCGAGCGCCAGACATTTGCGCGGGGGACTACTATGAAGCGATTCGAGGAGGAGTCGGACGAGGAGGACGAGGACGAGGAGCGGCGGCTGTGCGAGCCGCGGCTGCTGCGCGTCTTTGCGTGGCTTTTGTCGCCGCTGGAGCGGGAGCGCTTCCCGCGTGTGCCCTTCGCGTCAGAGGAGCTGGAGGAGCGCGAGCTGTGGCGGCCACGTCGACGGTGCCGGCGATTACGCGACCGCTTCGACTTGGTCGACGGCACGGAGGCGACCGACGAGCCGGAGTCCAAGATCTGCTGTTTGGCGTGGGTGAACTCCTCGTGGGTGAGACCGCCCTGCTGGTGCAGCTCGTGCAGACCCTTGATGGACTCCATGATTTCTAGCGGACCTGCAATGTAGGGGTGCGAAAAGCTGCAGCGCAGGTCCGCGGCGGTGGTCAGGTCGTGCAGACGCACGTGCGGAGTGCGACCACTCGTCTCGGACTTGCTTTCCGGTTGAAGGCCGAGCGAGGGTGAGCTGAGGGCCGAGGGCGTACTCAGCTGCGGCTGTGATGGTTGCGTCTCCTGCTGCTGCTCCGCTGCCGAAGCAGGAGCTGCCGGCGGTGCCGCCGTCGCCTGCCCCGAATCGGACATCAACGGGGGATCGTGTAAAGTAAAAAAATAAAACAATAAGAACACACCCAAAATGAGAACGAATCGAGGCGAAAAAGACGCGTTCAACGCAGTTATATCCAAAAGAGTTTGCTGTTGTTGTTGTTGACGTTGTTTCTCTTGACGTTGCGCGCTTCCGCTCTCACTTCGACTTCAGGGAGGCACTGCGTGTCGAAGCGTATAACAGGAAGTGAATGTGGAGGATGTTAGAGGACAGGGGGAGAGAGAGAAGCACACACACACACACACTCAGGCTACCACGCCGGTCTGTTCGTTTGTTAGTTAGTTATAGTGTGAAAATAATAAAAGCGTTTGATGCGTTTTGTTTCTGCTATGCCCCCGATCGTGAGTGCGACGAAACGAAGCTCACCACGGCGAGGGTCGAGAGAAGAGGAAGAAGGAAGAAAGAAGAAGAGCCACAACAACCTCGCAGCTGCTGCAGACGAGAGAGTGGACAGAGAAACCACCGAATAATAATAATATTATTAATAATAATAATAATAATAGTAAAATGGGTTATTTGAACTTCTCTTGTGTGGAGCAACATCAAGAAGAAGCCGTGGAAAATTCGTCGACGGAAACGGCAGCGCGCTGCGGGCCCCTTCGTTGGCGGTGTGCGCCTATGCAGAACAGCAACGAAGGAGAAAATGCGGTGCTGACCGCACCTTTCTTCGAACTTCGCCACGCCGAAACGCGGCGATCTGTCTCCTTCGGTAGAAGTTTTTCCACTTTTTTTTGCCGTTTCTCCTTTCTTTTTGGGGGGTTTGATTTTTGGATTGAAATCTAACAAAAGAAGGAAGACCGAAGGAAAGCGAAAATCTTTCGGGGGAAATAATAATTAATAATAATAATAAGCACGGGAAGCGCCGTCAAGGAGGAAGCCCTCACCATTGAGAGAGACTTCCGGAGTAGAGATCATACTTGCTTTCTGCTTCTCACAAGACGCTGATTCAAACGCTCCGCGCAAAACAACTCGTCCCTCACACAGACACACACAGACTCAGACTCAGACCCAGAATCAATATTAACAAAAGAAGCAACAGCGGAGCAGGCGCCCGCCATCCGAGAGCGACGCTTTCTCGCGGACACTCGCACCGCTTCGCGACTTAAACAACAGCAACAACAACAACCAAAAAAGAAGGCCACGCAGCGGTGGCACTCGACGTCCTCAACCCTTTTCTGAGTCGTATTGTGTTCACCTCTGCAAAAACGGGCGATTGGGCTTGGTCCCGACTCCCCCTTCTATGACTCACCGTATGTGTGCGTGCGTTTGAAGTTGCCGTGCTGGGACGATTGAACCGGCGGCCGAATAGGAAGGCAAGCAAGAAAATAAAAGAAGTAATACTACTAATAATAATAAACACCCATGCAGTTGCGTGGACAACGATGGTGTGTGGCCGCAAACCTTTTCCTTCGCCGCACTGAAGGGGAGCGGGAACAAAAGTATCTGGATTTCCTTAAACGTCTTTAATTAAAAGAAAATACATGAAAACATGAAGGAGAAAGCCGTCAACACGAGAGCCCAATAACGCATTACGAGAGAGAGAGAGAGAGGGAAATCCCCAAAGCAACTTGGCCAGCATCTCCCAACAGCGAAGCACAACACCGCAGGCACGCCAAGATTGAATCGTTTACGTGCTTCCTTGCCAGTCATCCAGCCGAGCAGGGAAAGTAGTAGTCCAAAAAGAAACGCCAATTGTAGTTATCAGAAAAGGACTTTACAGTGCCGATACAAAACACGCCTCTCTCACCCACTCACACACCCGTAAACAAATGCACCGCAGAAAGGAGGAAGAAAAGAGCGGAGGAGATAAAGAAGAAGGACGACGGAGCGTCACACGGAGGAGTCTACGGAGCGCAGTAAATAACAATAAAGAAACACGAAAGCAGACTCCTCAGTCTCTGCTTCCACCACCACTTCCGCGAGAGTTGTACCGGCCATTTCCGCGCCGCGAGTCGTCACGTGCGCCTCGCCCACCACGACCGCCGCGGTGCACGTTGGCGCCGCTGCGTCCGCCGCGTCCACCACGACTGCTGCCGCGCTCGGCGTGTCCACCGCCACGGACACCGCGTGAGCCACCGCTCGTGATGCTGCTGCTATTATTGTTGTGGTGTCCTCCACGGTTGTATCGGCTGGTGCTGTTCGACCCGACGTGGCTGTTTTCGAGGCTGCTGTTGTCGTGGGTGGAGGAGGGTGTGTGCGCGACGGGCGGCTGCGGCGGCGAGACCTCTTTGCTCTCCCCGCGGCTGGACGGCATCTCGCTGCCGCCTTCATGGCCCCGGCGGCGGTTTTTGTAGGAGTTTCGGTAGAGCCGCTTGCTCGCATCGTCGTGGCTGTGCGACGGCGACGTCGGCCGCAGCGACGGCTGGCTGCTCAGCTCGCTGCTCCCCCGCTTGCGTCTGCTTCTGTCGCCGTAGTTGCTGTGATCGTCGCTGTGACTGGTGTTGACGTTGCTGTTGCTGTGGTGTTGGTGCGGGTGCCGACTCAGCTGATCGGGGTTGTGCTGGCGATACTCCGTCACGCTGCTCGCGCTGGAGCTCGGGATGCCTTCCACCGAATTCGAGCCAACGGTGTTCGCGCGGAAGTCCACGACTGCGCCCTCCGCACTGCCGCTGACGTTGGTGTGCCCCCCGTACGCGTAGGGGCCGCCGTTGTTCGTGTTGTTCGTGCTCGTGCAGCCGGTGTTGCTCCCGCCAACGGAATGCAACGAGGTGCTGGCGCTGAGCGCTTCCTCGCCGGTGTGGTGATCTGCAATACGCGGGAGGTCCAACGCAGCCCCTGCTGCCGCTGCCGCCGCCGTCGCCGCCTGCGTCGACGGCGGAGGCTCCAACACCCGACTCTCCTTCTCCGGCTTCTCCATCACTCCCTCACGCTGCGTCGCGAAGAAGCGGTCGGCGCGGTCCATCGTCTCATCGGACAAAATGTGAAGCTGCACAAACTTCTCCAGCACACGCCCGGCCGCGGTGCGCGGCAGCGACTTCGGGGCGTAGTGCAGCACCTCATACACCTCAGCCACGACCGCGATCTCGCGCCCGGCCCGGTCCACGCCGTCGACGGTGATCTGAATCAGGTCCATGTTGTTCTCCACCAGGGCCAGGCCCTCCGTGCACAGCTCCGTGATCAGCATCGCGCTGAGCACCTCCGCCGCCAAGGTGGGGTCGCGACTGGTGAGTCGCGGTTCCTTGCGCAGCTGCTCGAAGACGTTCTCATGCGACGCGGCACCGTTGCGGAAGGTGTAGTAGAGTCGCATCTCCAGTGACTGCTTCCGGACATCGGCGAAGCTCAGCGCGCTGTCCAGCACTGCCTGCGCCTCCTTCGCCCCACCGGCCAGCACGAGAGTGTGCAGCACCAGTAGTGGCCGAAAGCGCACGAACCTGTGTGCCTCCATCGCCGGGTGCCAGGGCAGGCTGTCCGGATTCACGAGTACCTGGTTCACGTACTTGCTCACTTCCACCAGGTAGTTTCGCAGCGCCGTTGGCGTCGTGTACGCGACGAGCTCTAGTCCTTCGTTCAGCAGTTCCTCATCGTACACAACCCGGTCGTGATCGGAGAGGACCAGCTGCGCCCAGAACTGGAAGATGTGGAGGTCTTCGTGCAGCTTCCCTTCCATGGCGCGCTGCAGGGCTTCGATGGCCACCTCGTGCACCTGCTCTCTGCAGGCCGACATCGTCTTGGCCCACTCCGCGCTGGTCGGGGAGAGGTGTGCGGTGAGGTGCGCCGCGCAGGCGACGAACAACGCGCCGGTCTTCATGCGCGACTTCTCCTCCTTCGTCACGGAGAGGCAGCGGTCCAGCCACGCGGCGAGTACCGGCAGCACGTTGCCGTACTGATCAAAGAGCTGCCTCGCCAGCTCCGTCGGGGTGCACTGCCCGCTGGACAGCGCCGCCATGAACTTCGCAATCGCCTCCGGTCGAACCGCCTGGAGAAGGGGACGAGAGCAGAGAGTCAACATGATGCTGAGCAGCGGGGAGACGACGGCAGACTCCACGACGGCAGGCTCCACGACGGCGGCCGTGCCAGTCAAGGAGCTGACCGAATCCGACACACTCGCGTTGCCGGTTTGTTTGCTCCGTGGCGCCGGCAGCGGCTGGCCGCCAACCATCGTCGACGTCATGAGCGACTGCGAGCCGTCTCCTACGCTGACCGTGACCGCCATTGGGCTGCCCGAGATGGACTCCGACACCTCCGGTGGCACCGGCAGACGATTTGGGGAAGCGGTGACAGCAGCCGCAACGGCAGCGGTGGTGGTGGTGGTCGTCGTCGTCACCAGCGCCATCTCTGAAGGGCCCGACACGGACGGCGCCGTGCCTTCGGAGGTGACGGAACTGGCGGTGGCAGGCTGTGGTGCAGCAGCAGCAGCAGGAGCAGCAGAAGTAATGGCGGTCACTTCGGGCGCCGGCAGCATCGTCCGTAGGTCCTCCACAGTAGACATCAGCACAAAACGACATCGACTGACGGGGAAGTGCTGGACCCAGTAGGCGAGCTGACCGAGCACCAGTGGCAGCATCCGACGTCCTTCGCTCTTCTGCACAAAGAAGCGGTCCTTCACCGCCCGCACCGCCGTGATGACCTCGTCGATCTGCAGCTCCGTCGGCGTGTAGTTGGGCGGGGTCGTAAACTCGCCGAACTCGGAGCCCAAAAGGCACACGCGGAAGATGAAGGAGATCACGCTGCCGACGACGACGTCGCGGAGAAATAACTCGCAGACGAAGCGCACGTTACCACACATGCGGTCTCGCCGCTCCTTCTCTGTCTCGCCACCCGCGTCGACCGCACGTTGAATGGCCGACGTCAGCGGCGACGTAACGTCTTCGATCGTCTTCGGAGTGCCGTGGCTGCCGTTGCCGTCCCCGGAAACGCTCTGCTCGAACTCGGACTGGCACCGCTTCAGCAGCGCCACGCGCAGCCGATACTCCAAACTCTGGGTCTTATCCCCGACGATGTGTTGGCCCTGCGGCACCTTGCAGAGCGCCACGATGAGGTCGGCGTAGCTGTGGCTGAAGTGCTGCTCACGCACCGCCTTGGAGAAGAAGGCGTCGACGATCTTCGTTAGCTGCTCCGCATTCGCTTCTGGAATGGGCAGCCGCAGCAGCTCGTTTTTCACCTCGCGGAACTTCGCCGGGTCGGTGGTGACCTTGTTCAGCACGGCCACCACCATGTGGTGGATCTTCTTCTTCTCCACCTCGCCGAAGAGACCGCGGCGGCGGATGGTGCCGGGCGCGAGGGAGATCGGGATTTCCTGCCGGCCCTCCCACACATCGCCCAACGCCTCGAGCGCGTTCGACTTCTTCGCACCTGCACCTGCACCACCGCCGTTGGTGTGGGTGATCCCCCCAGCGTTGCCGCTTCCGGCATGAGGCGCCACCGCGCCACCAAAGCCGCCGTCGCGGCCGGCCAGCTCCATCGGCGACCCGCTCACCCCGCCCTTTGCGCCGCCCATCGCTGCCGTTGTAAAGCTGCTGCCCTTCTTGCCTTTCTTCCCCGGTGTCCCACCAGCCGTGAGCGTGGACGAGGCCGCACCCGTAACGGCGATCTTCAAGTTGAACTTCGCGGCGATCGCGTCAAAGCTGCGAACAAAAGCGTTGACGCCCGCCGGGACGTGCGCCGTGTCGTGGCGGCAGTCCGACATCCACGCCTCGACCTGCGCGGGATCGAAGGCGATGCACTCGGCGGTGGCGAGCAGCGGCGGTAGGTCTTCCGGCTGCTCCACCGCATCCTTCGCCTTCTCATCCGACTTCGTTTCCTCTTCTTCTTCATGCGCGCTTGGGGTGTTGAAGGGATGAGACTCGTCAACAACAGCGGCCGAATCCGCCCGCTTCTCCGTCTCCTCGCCCGCCGTGAGCTGCTCGCTCTTCTCTTCCTCTGCGTCTGCCACACCTGCTGCGACCGCCTCACCTGTCTTCTCGTCCGCCACCGGTGCCGGCGTGCTGTCGCTCTCCTCTACGTCGTCCTGCACTGCCTCAGCAGCAGCAGCATCATCCGCGGCAGCAACCACCGGGGTAGCTGTAGTCGCTTCACCAGGAATCGCCATCTCTGCTTTCACGGCGTCCTCCGCATGCGTATCGTCCTCCTGCGCGGCGTCGCTCACCAATTCGGAGGCGGGCTCTTCTGCCGTCGCAGCAGCTTTGTCGTTGTCCAGCGGCACATCGACCGGTGCGGCGTCCACTACATTGCTATCCTTCGACAGGGCCACCACCTCCACCTCCACCGCCTTGTCCGCGTCCTCCAGCTCGTCTTTCTCTGTTGAGATGCGCAGCGGTGACGGCGACGCAGGCAGGACACGCATGCCATCCGCGTACTTGGTCAAGCGCTGTCGGGGGCCGTAGAGGATGTCCTGCAGGGTTGAGGGGAAGGCGTAGAAGGAGCTCAGACTGCGGGGAGACCGGCCGCCCTTCGGAGCCGACCGCGACCGCGGCGACGAGCACGACGACTGATACCTGCGCTCCATCGCTCGGATGCACACGTAGCAATAATAATAGTAAAGATAATAATAGTAATGATAATAAATGTAAATGTAAGTTAAAAAGGGAGGCAAGCAGCTTCAAAAAAACAAAACAAGAAAACACCAGAAGAATAACAAAGAAAACGAGCAACACCAAAAAAAGGAGCGCAAATTCTGGCGTTGGGAGAGGCGGCGATATAGACTGATATATACGAATGTACGAAAAGAAATAAGCCTTTTCCTTTTTTCCTCCAGACGGATCTCTTTGTTGTATGGTTGATGCAGAGAAGAAGAGCCGTTAGGAGGTCAGGTATGTCTTTATTCTTCTCTCGGTAAATCTAACGTTGTTTTTCGTTTTTAGGTTTAATTACTTTTCTTTTGGTTTGTTTGTTTTATGCGGTCTGATGGATTTGATTTGCTTTCGACAGTGAGCAGCGCCGAGCTGATGCGACAGCGTGTGCGTGTGTGTGTGCGTCTGTGAGTGTATGTCTATTAATGTCGTTATTACCTTGGCTGGCAGAGCAGAACAGAAGAAGAGGAGAAAATAAGAAGGGCAAAGGGTATGAAGCACCACCGACCACGGCCACACACACGCAAAGAGACAGCAACTGAAAACAAAGGAACAACCACACAGCAGCAACCAGCAATGATGAGGCGTAACGACGGTGGAAGAGGAGAAGGCAAAAGCTTTTTTCTCTTGCGTACTGCACGTCGGTCGAGGACGCAACGTAGGCGATGGAGGAGGAGGAGAGAAAAGCCAAATAAATAATCAAAGCAATCAAAACAAAAAAAGGCAAAGAAATCTGAAAGGGCCCAATATCGACGACGACGTAGGAAGACGTAGGGAAGATCAGAGGAAAGAAAAACGACAACGATGCCCCCTCTTTTCTACACCTTCTATAAAAAACTCTTTGTTTTACAGTTGTCGTATCGGAGATGACCCCTCTCCTCAAAAAAGAAGGTGCAAAGCGGAAATAGACAGACGAAATAAGATCGAGTACACGAGATTCTGATGAATACAAAGCGACAACAACAACAAGGAAAGGAAAGGAAACCAAAAAAAAACTAGTAAGGTGGTGGTGGTAGTCGAAGCAAAATACGTACAGTAATACAATGAAAAGCACTTGTATAAAGAAAACCAGAGAGATCAATAAAAAGGAAGATTCGCAGGAGAGGCGGAGCAAGAAGTAAAGGTGCGTCGTTGCGTGCGTGTTCCACGTAGGATACAAGCAGCGTGCTTCTCACCGGTAAGGTCCTGCAGAGGAGTTTGAAAATTCGAAAGAAGAGATAGAGAGGGAGAGAGGGGGGAGAGGGCTCGGTAGGAAAACCACCAACAACAGCAGTGAAGGGTGCATTTCGTCACAGGTAGTGTGTCGGTGCGGAGTTCAGCTGCGATGCGTGCCACGACAGCAACAGCCGCTATCATTTGCAAGGTCTTCCGTATGGAGTAAGAGCCTTCTGCTTAGTTCTTTCTTTACCCCCACCGCCCAAAAAGGGTCGAGGAAAGCCGCGGACGCCCTCGCATTTTCCGTTGACAGTGCGGTTTCCCTTTTGCCGCTTCACCGAAATCGCGTGTGCTGAGCGGCGTCTGAACTTCTTCTCTTCCTTTGAAGGCTCTGCTTGAGGACGTGCAGCGCAGTTGTACATGGAACAGAAAACAAACAAAACAAAACAACAAAAACACGCGTCTTCTCTATTTTACATATCTCACGTCCATCACCCAAACCCGGGGACGGCAACTTCAACATTCGAAGCACACACACACACGAACTGCAAGGAATCTCTAAAAGCAGCCGCGGACCACCGCCAGCGGCCCCACCTCCTCGTAGTCGCTCTTCGACACCCACAGCGACTGGGCCGCGGGAAGCGACGCCCAGATGGAGCCGCCCACAAAGGCGGCGTCCCGCCGCTCCACATCCGCGATGAGGCGCGTGCTCTCCACGCTAATCCCCGCCAGCCGCGCCTGCACCTCGGACTCCATGCGCTGCGCCACGCCCCGCAGCAACGACGCCCCGCCGCTCAGCACGACGTGCGAGGCGAAGGTGGGCAGCAGGTCGTGATCGCACCGCTGCATCGCATCCACAATCAACTCCGGCACACTGAGGGGCGTGTGCGTGGAGCGCAGGAGGACCTCATCCACAACCGCGCTCTGATCGCGCGGGTGCTGCAGTGCCGGCGAGAGAGACGGCTGGAAGTAGGACTCGCCCGGCGTGAAGCGCGCCGCGCCGCTAACTGGCAGCACCGTGCCATCCGGCAACACGAAGTCCTCCTTGTACCGATCCTCCGCGGCGCCTTGACCCGCAGACGAGACGGAGCCGGAGGACGGCGACGCGGTGAAGCGGTCGACGGAGGAGAAGGCCTGCTTGCTCTCCGCCACGCTGCAGTGGCGCTCCTTCACGTACTCCCACATGCTCTCCTGCTGCGCCGACGTCATCGTCTCCATCAACGGCAGGAGGCCCGTCGCGAGCGGCGACATCAACGACGTAAAGTGCCGCGTCAGTGCAGCGCCGCCGAGGTCCAGCGCGTGCGTCGCGTGGAAGAGCGACAGCCCTTGAAAGACGGGCACGACGTGGCTCTGGTCGTTTCCCAATTCGACGGAGACGCCGGTGCTGAGGCCGGAGGCGTACAGCGCGAGGACGGGGCTCAAGGCGAAGCTCGCGGCCCCTACGTGGTACGTCTCGAACAGCAACTCCGCAATCTTCCGCCGCTGATGATCCGGCACGAGGGCCTTCTCCGTCAGCAAAAGAGGGGTGCTGTGTTCGGCATTGCCGAGGTCCAGCATGCACACCACGCGCTCCATCAGCTGCTCATAGGCTTCCCAATCCGCGATGACGCCGCTCTTCAGCACCGTCGCGGCGGCCGGGTCGTCGGACTCGTCTAAAATGGCGCTGGCCTCATCGAAGCAGGCCCGGCCCTTCACGACGCAGGTGCGCTGACGCATGCGGGGGGCCGTGTCGCCGGCAAAGCCGAGACGGGTGCTGCAGCTCCCCACGTCGAGCACCGCGGCGTTGGTGTGCATCGTGGCCGCCTCGTCCGGCAGCGGGACGCTGCGCAGCACGTTGACCGTGTTGGGTGGGATGTTCATCGTACTCGTTCTCTCTGTGTGTGTAGTGGACTCAGCAGTGATGCAAGAGGACAGATGTGCCAAAGGATGGATGCTCAGTGCGGTGGAGTTTCTCCTGTCTCCTACGGCAGCAGTGAAAGACTTCGGTTTTCTACCTCATTGAGGAACAAAAGAAGGAGGGGAAGAGAGTCGTGTTGAAGGCAATCGAGAACGCACGAATTCGAGTCTCTTTCGAGGTTCAAGAGACGGGGAAGGGAGAAAGCGGCAACGTTCACGTCTGCCGTGGTGTTGAGCCGCGCACCGCAGCATAATCGGCGTGCTGTCCTTGCTTCCTTCCTCTTCTTAGCGTCATTTCAGCTCCTTTTTAGAACCGTTATTTTTGGAAGCCGTTGAAGGCGACGGGTGGAAGGAAGAAGGAAAAAGCTACTAAACATAGAAATCCAAACAAACAAAAGAAAATCAGGTGGGGGCGTACAAAGCAAAATGCTTCAATGAGCACCATCGCCTTACATCGTGTTTGCCGCAGGAAGAGGTGAAGCAGCAGCAGCGACCAACATCTCTCCTTGCTACATCACCTGCCCGCGGCGGGTCGACAGCGGGTCCGCCAGCGTGCAGCCCGCTGCGTCGAAGCGCACATACGTCTTCTGCATCGTGGTCGTCATGATATCCGGTCGGTTCAGCGGCGGCAGCGGCTCCACGTAGGGATGCTCGCGCTTCATATGGGAGAAGTTATACGACTTCGACGACAAACCCAACTGCCGGTTCAGCGCATCCCGCACGTAGCGGGGGCCATCCAGCGCCAGCGGATCGCCCGCGGGGCCCCACTCCCGTGCCGTCTCGCCCAACTTCGGCCGCGTCGTGTCGTCGGCGGCCCAGGACTTGAGGACGTGCATCTCGAAGTCCTCATCGGTACCGAACTGCGCGCTGACGCCGGCGTAGAACGCCAAGAACTCTGCGTAGTCCACCGCATCATCGTTATCGTTGCTGGGGTTGCCATTGTCATTGTGGGCGGCAGATCCATCCGTCGCATCCGCCCGGCCGGTGGTCGTAGCGAGGAAGCTTTCCTTTAGCTGCTCCCGCGTTGTGTCGGAGAATGTCCGTGTCAGTGCGCTGCGCTGCTGCGAAGGGGCATGGCAGCTGCGGAAGAGCACCTCCCGGGTCACCGCCGCGTTGCTCGTCTCTTCACTTTTCCCCTCCAGGGCGGCCCACGCCTTTCTGACCGCACAAATACGCCGCTCGTTCAGCCCGGTCAGGTGCCGCGTGAAGGTGGCGGCGCTGATCACACCCGCCCCGCTGTCATCGAAGGCGCGGCACAAATACTGCTGCTCAAACGGCGTCAACTCCACCTCGTGATCGGACATAAACGCGAGGAACTCCGCGTAGGTGAGACCCGCCTTCGACGACGCGGTCGCGGACACCGACGTGGAAGAGGAGGAGGAGGTGGACGGCGGTGCGCTGAGGGAGGGAACGCTGTTTTGTGCCGCGACGGCGGCCGCATCACGCGCATTGAAATCCAGCAAGACGTTGACCAGTCCGCCGCTGCCGTTGTTGCGCAGGAGAGCATCCTTCACCTTTCCCTTGAAGATGACGTCTTCGCGGATATTGTTGTTGTTGAGCGACGTCATGCTTCCTTCTCTCTCTTTGTTTCCAGAGATAAGACGGCAAATTGGTCGAGAGTGCTTCGTGTGACGGCGCGCGGTTGGGTAGAATTGGGAGTACGACGTTCGGTGCTGTACGGGAACGGAAAAAGACAAGGAGAGCGTTTAGTTTCGCCAAGAAGGAAGAAGAACGTGAAGTGGGCCGAATACAGCCGCAATCGGCAAAACCGCGAGAGGAATAGACAGTCCACGGCAACGCTTACGCGCGCATCAGCCGCCAATTACTTTTCCAACTCCTGATGTCATGGAGACGATGGACGAGACGGCGATTCCCCAGCGCACCACACCTGCGTGGTTCTTCTCTTTTTTGTTTTCAAAGGTAGCAGCAGCGAATGATAGCAGGAGGGGGAAAAAGAAAACCCACACAATAACAACATGACCCAACATCAAGTTGGTGTGCACGCACGCGGCAGGAGGAGGTGAAGTGTGAGCAGGGTACGGCGTGCGTCGCACGTGATGAAGGCGACGTGCGTCTCTGAACAGAGCCCCCGCTCCCGCTCGTCTTTTCATTACTCCTGCTCACACGTACGGCAGCAGAGAGTCCTCTCGCGCCGCGTGAAATCGATTCCACCTCTCGCGGTAACTCGAGGAGGCGCTAAAAAAGTTCAGCGCGTGAAGCGCGGCAGCGTGCGCCCGTATTCGAGCCCGCAGCTCCGGCTGCCGCAACGCGGGCACCTCCGCTGCATAGGCGCCTGGAAACGGAAGTGCCCGCTGAAGCTCCTCGATGACGTCACGCTGATCGAGGCAAACCTGCACGAACGCTTCTAAAAGTGGGAGCAGCTGCAGTGCCTCGCTGACCTCACCGCAGCCGACGGCAGCAGCTGCAGCAGCAGCAGTACCACTAGTTTCACCGCGTATCGCGTCGTACAAGGCAGCTTCCTCTGGGCAACGATGGGCGGTGAGAAAACACGCATCCACGTCTACGTCATCGTCGGCTCTCGCGCGGAAGGACGGCAGGAGAATGGCGTGCCCGGTGGTGAGCTCTGCAGCGCGGAAGTTGTAACTCGAGTCGTCGATCAGCACCGTCGTGAGCGGACTCGGCGAGACGCTCACGGTTTTGTTCCAGTCCTGCAGCTCTGACACAAGAGACGACGCGTCTGTAGTGGGGCTGGAGGGACAAGGCGAGTCCGAAAACTGTACAGCGTGATCACCGTGAAAGAGGCTGTGGAAGAGCGCAGGCGTGACGTCGACTGGGCTGTCAGACCGACTTCGCCGCAGCGCGGGGAGCAGCACCTGGTTCAGCACGGCTTCGCAGTACGACGCACTCTGACGCGTGTACAACGAAACGCACACCTGCGTTCTCGCTGTGTCGAGGGCGCGATCGAGTAGCAGGTGCTGCAGGAAAGGGATGACGTGCGGACGCAGAAGTACGCGCTTAATGTGCTTCTGCTCGCAGGCCAAAGGACAAAGCACGGGCTCGCTGAAGCCTGCGGCACTGCCGCCTTGGCCGTTTGCACACGCGTAGATGCACCCTTCGACCCTTTCGTCGCCATTCCCATACGATCCTCGTAAGGGGTGCAACAACGTGCCGTCGATGTCCAGCAAAAAGTGAACGGGCAGGCGACCCGCAACGCATCGCATGTGTGTGGTGGGTGTCTGACGCTGACAAAGAAGGAGAAGGTGCGAGAGACGGCGTGCAAGTTGGATGTGAAGTGCATAAGCAATTTCCTGGCGAGAAGGACGGCCACCACCGCAACAACAGCAACAAAAACCACAGCGACGGATGCGGTGCGAAAGAGGGCCGACATACGCGGATTTCTTTGATCTCTCCTTATTAACGCACTCGCCACCCTGCGAGACATCGGAAACGTAAAGAAACACCGTTTTGAAACTTCGATAAAAGGAATAGAGCGCTTTCGTCCATGAGTGTGCGCGTCTCTGTGTGTGTGAGTTCAGGCGCGAGGCCGCCAAGCAAGTACAACTATACATGTCTCCTTTTTGAGGGAGGGTGGGGGGAGGCGGGAGAGCGCCAAATAAGAATAACAACAGAAAGACAGCTAATCAGCCGGCAGTCATCGAGGCACTTTCAGTGCTTCTCATCCCCCTTCTCCTCAGCAGCAACTGCAGCGACATCAACGGTCTCGTGTCCGTCTTCGGGTGCGCTCTGTTCGCTGCGGACATCGAAGTCGTCGCTGTACTCCTCCGTGCTTGCTGCAACGCTGGGGGAACGACTACGACGGACTCGAGGCACTGGCTGCTGCTGTTGCGGCGGCGGCGGTGACGGTGGCGTCGCATCCTGCGCTACGCGGACACCGACCTCTTCCTCCACCAGCAACCACGCAGGCGGAGTCGTAGTTGTACCTGCGACAGTGTGTGCTGCGTTGGTCACTCCCGGGCCTGCCTGCAGTACACGCTGAAGAGACTCCAACGCCGTCGCCATCGCGGCGCGGCCCGCCTCTTCTCTCGAAGCTGATTTTGCCAACAGCGCCTTGGTGGTTGCGCCGTAGACAATAGAGGGCGGTGTGGGGTCTTCGTGTGACCCCCGTGCCGGTGCTTCTGCGGAGTCCACATGCTTCGCTCCTCTTTTCCTCCTCGCACGCCCTCGTCGCTTTGCCTCTGTCTTCTTCTGCCGACTTTTCCGGCCCACCGGCGCCTCAAAGAGGAGTTCGGTGGATGCCGGGCACGGAGGCAGCGGATCGCCCGCCACCGCCGCCAGCTGCGCCTCCACCCCGCTGTTAAAAATACGAGCTACCGAGTCAACCGCCGCATCAGCAGAGCTATCCAGACCCATCGATTCCGCCCCTTCCTCCGTGTCCCCGCGCCTTCCTCCTGCCGTCAACGACGTTGTCGGGGAGGTGGCAGCGAGGCCTTCCGCTTGCACAAGCTGCTCCAGACTCTCCTCCGCCTGTCGCACCATGCGCTCTACGGCAGGGTGCGCCTCGAGGACATCTCCCCTGGCCAGCAGACTTTGTATGCGCGCGAGCAGTCGCTCCCGTGCCGCTTTGCGTGTCCGCAGCATCCACACGTGTGTCTCCTGCGCCTCCACTGCGCGGCGGAGGCTTTCCACCGACTCCCGTCGCACCGGTGAATGATGATGAGGATGATTACTGTGAGGGTCCCCGTTTCTGTCCTCTTCCTCTCCGTGATGCGGCTCGGGGGGCGTGGAGGGGCCGCCGTTGCCGCCGACGGAGGCGTACACCATGCTGATGGTGGAGGCGGCAGGCTAGCCGGACGTGAAGCTGCAAAGAAGGAATGAACGGACGTGCTCTGTGCTCGTTGAAAGACTCCGTTCGCGAAGGCCGCTTTCTTGAGCTCTCGGTTCGCAGTTGCCGGTGGATGCTTTCACCCAATCGCGTTAGAAAGAAGGAGGAGGGTAAAGGAAAAACCGTAGTAATAGGAAGCCAGTGCGTCAGCAAATAGCGCAGATGGGCAGCATCCAAAAAGCGGCGAGTGCGCCGTGGCAGGCACCCCACACTCGGCCCTCTTTCTACCAACAAAGCACGCCACCGAGGAAAACAAGAGGAGGCATGCCGCTCGTGACGCCCCCAACACCCGCCAACGCGGTAGCAAAAATCATCGAGTAGTTTATATACGTATTTGACAGCGTAAAGCGCAACAGCACAAAGGCCGCATTCTACGACGAGGACTTCAGGAAAACGAAGCCTCACCGCATGACAGCTGAACTCGTCTGCGCACATCGCCATTGGCTGCCTCTCGGGGCGAACAACGCGGCTCCCAACAATCGTACAACACGCGACGGCGGCCCTTCTCAACAGCATGTCCAATCTACATCACCCCCCCCCCTTCCCCCACCCCGCTCCGCTCCTCCTACGTCTTTCAGCTAAACAGAAGGCCCTGAAGGAGGGAGCGGGTGCGCAGCTGATGTCCGGCGGCGAACACCACGTCCACCTCAGCTGCCGTGCGGCACGCCTCGACCATCGGCGCACGCAACACAAAAATGACTGCGGCGTACATCGGCAGCAGCCACAGCGCACACGGCGTCGTGCTGTCTGCCGACGCCGCGCTGGCCAACCCGACCGGCGATGACAAGGAGCTGCGACGGTGCATCTCTCGCAGATGGTACGACAGCACCAAGTCCCAGAAGGAAAGCACCTCGAAGCTGTCGAGCAGATCTGCAAAGCCGGTCAGCATCCAACGCATCGCCAGCAGAAGCGGCGGGTACTGCAGATCGCGCGTCGCGTGCAACACCGCCGGCAAGGCCAAACGCTGCACCAGACTCTCGAAGAGCAGACAACACTGGAAGAGCTCCGGCGTTGGCCCCTGCAGCCGTCCCCACAGCTGCGCCGTCATGGCTGACATCAGCTCGTACTGCTCCACCGTGTCCCCCGTGACGTTGCACAAGGGGGCTAACAGAAGCGTGCTGCCTTCAATCGGGAAGAACCCACAGGCCGACGCCTTCTGCAGAATCAAGTTGTCCTCTGGATAGCGCAAGAATGTGATGTAGTGCTCCAAGGCACCGTCGGGTCGGCCGAGCTGCCGCAGCGTGTTCTGCAGCTTCACCTCCGGCAGACTGCGGTCCACCACCATCGCCGTCACCGCCACCTCCACATCGTCGGTGTACACGAAGTACTTGTCGCTGTCGCCAACAGCGGTAAGCGCGTCATCCAGCACGAGCCGCTGCAGCAGCCGCGCCCGTCCCTCTTGCTTCGGGGAGGAGTAGTGATGCTGAAAGCGCCGCTTCACCTTGTCGCGTGCGTGCCGGGACGCGCACGTGATGTAGCGCGAGAGGCCGTGTGGGAAATGATTCATCATGAACCCGCTCTGCGGGAGAAACATCGGCTTGCCATCGGTGACCGCCAGTGGCACCTGCAGGGCACGCGCGTAGAGGAGCCGGCGCACGGACGGGTGCAGGCTTTCGCGCAGCAGACTTGCCACCTGCTCCGCCTCCTCGCCCATACGGAGAAGGGCGTCGATCTGCGACTCGGCCACCTCCAACGTGCTGTCCAGCGGACCGCACGGAGTTGACGTGACCAAGTTGCCGGGGTGCAACTCCACGAAGCACTCCCGCAGCACCTCCAGCGTGGGCACGATGGCCGGGAACGTTCGCAGGGCCTGCACGTGAGGCTGAAACACCGTGAGCAGACCGAGCTGGTTGACGCCGAGCCGGCCGCTCTCCCAGGCAGAGGCGGGCAGCAGACCCATGGAGGTGATCGTCTTCTGCGTCTCCTCCGAGTTGATGCCGTCTACGAGGCAGCGGAAGAGTAACTCGATCGTTGGGAGCCCAACCCGCTCCTCCTCCATTGCCGCCTCGGCGCTGATCGCCGCTGCAGCGCCTGCCTTTGGAGTGCTCTCTGTGCTGCTGGAGCCTGTAAATGCCAGCTTGTGTGCCTCGGCGCTCTGAAAGTGCTGCGTGACAGCGTTCGCCCACGTCAGGCGGGCGTGCTCGAGCACGCTGCCCAGCAAGACGCACACCTGCGTGTTTTCCACAGCGCCGTGGACGTCGTCGTCGTCGGCATGGTGGTGTTGCGATGCGCTCCGCTCTTTTGAGGGCTCTCGCCTCTCCGACGCCTTTGCCTGGGTCTTCTTCTGCTGCCATTCATGCTCCTCCCGTGTGCGCTGCGCCGTCAGCTTCGCCTGCAGCTGCGCCACCACTCGGTTCTGGCGGGCCACGACACCCTGCAGAGAGCTTACGAGGTCGGTCTCACTCGGCTGCGCCGTGGATACGCCAGGCGAGGCTGCCTTGACGGACTCCACCCACTGCGCGCTTAAGAAGCCCGTCCAGGTGTCCAGCGAGGAGGTTGTGGCGGCTCCTCGGGTGACATCAGCGGAGCTGAGGGCACTGCTGCCGCTGCCAGGTGCTCCTCCGGCGGTTGCCGTTGCCGAAGCGTTGGAGTTGCGCTGCTGCTGATGCTGCACGGCCGATGCGCGGCCCGCGTTGCGCTGAATGGTGAAGCTGTCCCGTGATGGGCGGGAGAGTGTATGGTAGGCAAGTGGCTTTGTCTGCGACATGGTGGAGGCGTGCAGTGGTGCGTGCCGGCTGCTGGATGACTCTTTCGCTGTTGTTTGAGCAGCAAGCGGTACTCGAAGTGGAAATGAAAGGAACCTTCACGCCAGTATAAATGGAAGGAAACAAGACGATCCACAAAAGGAAGGACGCAACGGGGGTGGCTGCCTCGCGGACAACGTTCGCTGTCCCTTCTCTGCTAGAAATGCAAAGTGACTTTTGGAGTTGCACGGGACGCCTTCAATGAGGGCAGCGGTCACGCAGACAGCAACAACTGCAGAGCAGGTGAGCGAGGCAGAGAAGGAGAAAAGAGATCAATGGAATTCAAGCAGAGCGGAAGGAAGATGGGCGGTTGACCGATACATGATGAGAGGAGGGCAATCTACGGAGGGCCACATCTACAGGACGAGCCACGAGATCCGAATGGAAGCAATAACCCCGTAAGTGCAGCCTCTCCTCCTTGAAAACTCAAGTACGGCTTTTGCCATCACACGCTCAAACCTCGATGTTGCAGAGCAGGAAAAGGACAAGGGTAACACACCTTTGTACGCCGTGGAGACAAGAATTGTTTTTTGCCGCTGTGGAAGTGACATACAACGGCAGAGGTGAGGGAGGCCGCTCTTCCTCGCGTTTTTTGGCTCGCCGCAGCGCTATCCAGTCCTGCTCACCGCGTACCAGCGCTTCGCCTGAGCGGGTCGCAGCTCCACAATAATATTAAACCTATACACACTGGGTGCGTGACCAGCTTTATCATGCAGGTCCGCTGCTGTTGTCGTGCCCACATTTGCGCTGGCAGCTGATAAAGCACTCTGTGGCTGTCGCTGCGTGACGCCACGGCGGCAAAGAGAAGCGGAATCAGCAAGGGCGGCAGAGCGGGTCACGACGCTTTCGCCTCCCCAGTCCCTGCGCACGCGGTGCAGCACGCCGGGCACCGTATGGCGGGAGATCACATCCATCATATTCCCCGCCATGACGACCGCCTCTCCCGCATCTGTCGTCACCACCGGCTCCCAGTTCGGAAGCAGATTCAGGACATTCGTCTCCTCTTCTTCTGCGTTCGCTAACGCTGACGGCTGCGCCGTCGGAGCCGCCAATTCAACATTTGCATGACTTGTGTAGTCGCCTGGACGATTGGTGAAGGACACGGGGAGTTCGTCGAGCGTGTTGACGTCCAGCCCTCCCGCCGACCCGGTGAGCAGGGCAGTGCACAGGCCAGGATCGATGTGCGGTCGGCACCCTGATCCTGCCGGGTAGCGCAGCACACGCAGCACCGACTTCCTCCCCAGGTTGTGCAGCACACCGTCACGGGGGGCAGGCAGCACTGAAGGCTCTCGCACCGCCACCTCCACAAACGCTCTCGCTGCCTCGTGCAAACCAGCGCAGATGTGGCGCACCTCCGGCGGAAGTTGACGATACACATCGCTGTCAGCGAGAAAATGATGCAGCGGGACTTCGATGTGGTCGCGCCAGTCGCCATGGTCGCCGTGTCGTCGATGAAGATAGCGTGCCAGCGGACCGGACGCGTCTTCGAAGTAGCGGACAGCAGTGTCGGTCTGCAGTGCCGCAAAGGCTGCGCTGACTTCGCTGGGGTGGAATAGGCGCACGAGCTTCCACGCATTCATCGTATCACACCGGTTTCTTTGTGTATGTGTGTGCGTGTGTTTGCTCCTTTCAAAGGAAAATGGGGTGCATCTACGCCCACCGTTCTGCCAGGAGGAGAGCGTTGCCGCAACAAGGAGGCGGAAGACCGCGGAGGTGAAGGCGGGCGAAAGTGATGGGCTTCTTCCACCGTGCGTATGCGAGCGGAAAAAAAAGAACTGCCGCCTCTGTGGGGTACGAGTGTCATCCGTGTTCGCGGGGCGCCCTCGCGCTCCGCGTGTGACGGCACATCACAACCAACAATCCATTATTTTGTTGTTGTTGTGCGTGTGTGTGTGTGGTGCAGACGTACTCAGTGACCCATGTCGCTGCGCTTAAGAAAACTGCACGCGATAGACGCAACTCTCTCTCCTCTCTTGTCCATGTCATTGTCTACGAAAGCAGCTCAACACGCAGTGCGGCCCACCATAAAAGTCAGCGCGGTTTTGTCTTCTTGTTTCTTCCACGCAGCAGCGCGTCCTTTCCAAAGACCTCCTCCTGCAGCCTTCCTCGAACATCAGCAACGAAGATACCCAATGCTCTGTGCACCCCCACACCTCACAGCTCGTCTACGCCGCGTCAGCACTGAAGTGCCCGCGCTCCTGGTACTCGGCACGCGTCACGGCCTCTGCGGCAAACCGGGCGCTGGCACCGAACAAACTTCCGCCCTTCCAGACCGCGTTTCGGTCACGCGAGCAGTCCGTCACGCGGACTTCGTACTCCGCCGGCTTTCCCGTTGCCCCGTTCGATGCAGCGACGAAGTCGGCGGTATGCTTCTCGAGCAGTGCACGCAAGGCCCGCTCCAGCCGCTTCGTCAGCCCGGGAAAACGCATGTTGCCGCCGCACACGACGACGTTGGCGTAGAGACGACGTCGGCAGTCCATCGGGCAGGCCCACACCACGGCATCCATCACACCTGGCAAGGCGGTCGTCCAGCGGGGCTGCAGCAGCGCCGGTTGGAACATCGTCTCCGCCGCGAGGAAGCGCTCACGACCAACCCTCACCGCGTAGGGATGCCCGGTGCGCCAGTGCACCTCACTGTGATGAAGGACGTGTGCGAGAGGGTCGGCCTCAAACTGGGCCATTTCCTTAGCAGCGTCCTCAGCGACATAAAGGTATGACCTTTTAACCCGCTCTGCCACGTCCCACGCACGCTCCGCCGCGATGTCACGCGTGTGTTCACGCAGGCTGTCCAGCACGTACTGTGTGATATCCCCGCCTGCAATCTGGAAATGCTGTGCGGCACCGTCCAGGGCATAGCCGTCCACCACCGGCACGACCTGCGTCATCCCGGCACCGCTCAGCACCACCAAACCAGTGTCGGCGCCGTTGCCCACACTGCTCAGCGCAAAGAGGGCCTGCGAGCCCATCGAGAGCTGCGGAACGCCAAAGCTCTCGAAGAGGATTTCCGCCGTCGCTTCGCGCTGCTCCGGTGCGGTCTTTGCAGCCTCCGTCAGCACCACGCCCACGTCCGACGACTCGACGCAGAGGTGACGGTGGAAGAGATGCCGCCAGTACTCCTCGTACAGGTCCCAGTCCGCCACCGTGCCGTGATCCACAAGACGGCGGTGATGTGTGACGGCGTGCCTCGACGGCTGATCGGCCTCGTGACCCACGTGAAGGGTGTCGTACGACAAGGGATCGGCCCAGGCACAGACGGTCGGCAACTCAAACGTCGGCGCGCTGTTGCCGGCGTACCCGAGGCGGGTGGTGCTCGTGCCCATGTCGCACACCACTACCGGCACGCGGGGCGTAACAGGTGGCATGGCGGCCCCATTGATGTTTGTCTGCACGGCAGCGGAGGCTACGGTCGTTGTGCGTTGTGAACGTTGTTGACACGGAAAAAAAAAAACCCGCACTGTTGATGCACCTCTTCTCTTTTCTGTTTTCCGCCTTGCACGCAGAGGCCACTTCCGGTTCGAGTGCAGCAGAGAGGAATCGAGCGAAGTGAAGTACATGAAAGGTGAGCAGCGTCGAACGCCAGGAGACAAATAGGCAGGTGTTGTGGGGGCTGCAGAACCGATTGATGGCAAACGTGGATGTCGCCCCTGCCGTTTGGCGAGCGGCGATGTGTACGGCGGCAACAGCAGCTGTAACGCGGTAGCGCTTCTTTTTCTCTCTTTAAGCACACTAGCGTTCTTAACATTAGTATTATAGCTCTTTTCCTTTTCGATTGTTGCTTGATAGCAGAAAAGGAGAACTGCTCGACACTTCACCGGTGCTGCACAAAGCACTGCAAACAAACGAAACACACGTATCTACCATACACGGAAACGCGTGCCTCCTTGGTGCCTCGCCGACAGGCAACCATCGCCGCATTCCGTCTTGGCTCACGGCGGCGTCTCCGGGTCGATGGAGTTCATAATCTTGGTTGAGGCGTTCGTCAAGAACTGAACACGGCAGATAACTTCGTACGTGCCGCGGTGCATCTCGTGCGCCAGCTGCTCCACCGCCGCTACCTTGTCGCTGCCGGTGAGTATCTTATACAGGTGTACCAACACCAGCTGATCCTCCTCCGCTGTGAAGGGGCGCTCGGTGCGAAAGGGGCGGCCCGCGGCATGGAAGGAGGCACTACCGCAGTAGCGACACCGCTTCGCCTTCCACGGCTCCGCTGGGTCGTGGAGCATCGCCGTGCTGCCGATGCCCGCACACGTGCCGCCGACGCTGGCAACGCCGTCGATCAACGCCAAATTGTCGTGGCTGCGCCAGGGGAAGCGCTGCACCGTCATGTGTTCTAAAAGGACGTCTTCGAAACGTATTTTCTTGTCTGCCTTGTACACCTGACGAGCCGCACAGTACGCGTCCTCTGAAAGATCCACCGGTGCCGGCACACAACACGTCCTCCCTGCCCCCGAGGCCACACCAGTGCTTGATGCGCCCCAGTTCGCCTCCTCGACGCTGTGCAGCACGACAGCACGGTAAGCGTCGTGTGTGCGATCGAACAGGCTCCGTGACGGGTCCTCGCGGTATTGCAGGGTCCACAGCGCCGTCCGTGGCGAGAGCGGCGCGAGCTGGGCCGCAGTAGCGGCAAGTCCCTGGTCATGCACCATCAGCACAACGCGGAAGTCGAGGTGAGGGTTGCGCTGCGCAATGGCTGCCTCTAAGTTCACCGCCATGGCCAACTCCTCCTGAGGGAAACGTGCGGTAACAGTTCGAAAGAAGGTCACGGGGGTTTCTGGGTGGTCCAGCACACGGTGAAAACGATCTATCTTTGTCTTGAAGTGCGCCTGCACATCGGGGTTGTTGAGATCGAAATGGGCGAAGGCGGTGTGCTGGCCGCGGAAGAGCACCCACGGTCCCACGCACTCTGGCGTGTACGGCGGCTGCCCGGGCGGGTAAAACCCCTCGTCAAAGCCGTGTTGAATGAAATGCAAGAGACCGTCCATCGTAACACGGCTGAAGTCAAAGGGGTAGGCCTCCGTGCGGAGACCCAGCTTGCCGAGGATCAGCGCCGGTCCGCACCACCCACCGAGTGAGATATATTTTCGAGGCAGCGAGGCGCCGTCGAAGCGTGCAGCGTGACATGCACGTCGACTAAGGCCGAGCATTAGAAGGGAAACAAAGTGGCTGTTCTACCTCTCGCGCCTTTTCTTTTTTAGTTGAAGCTACAGTGGTCTCTGTCGTTGACCCAAGCATTTACATGCAGACGGGAAATCAAGAAATCGGAGAGGCGAAAGAAAACAAGATGAGATAGACGTCTTTAGGAGCTCGATGCTTCGCCTCCCTCTCCCCCAAAGAGGACTCTCTTCCTGATCGGCGTCTGCTTCAGAGGCTCCCTTGGCGACGAGGTTTCTTGCCAAACACAGCAGCCCAGTTTTGGGGACCACAAGTGGTGTTTGGTGTGGGACGTCTTAAAATGAGGGAGACCGCAGTTCTGCTGCAGCTCTACCAAGGGTTGTGAAGGCCAACAACATGTACCTCACTGTCGTCTACACGAAAGAGGCAGCGCGTGAGGGAGCGGGCCAGTTCGCGCCGAGGGAAGGCCTCACACATCTTCCCAACTCTGCCGATTACGCCGCCCGGTGCGATCGCATGCGGTGCAATGGGCAGAAGAAATAAGAAGAAGAAGCAGGTTGAGATCGATTCAGGTCGATTGCTCCCTTTATCTCCAATATTTTTTTTTTCAGGGGGTATTTTCTTCTCGGTTTCTCAAACGTTTAACAGTTATTAGCGAGCCAACAGCCTCCATTATGAAAGACAAAGAAACAAACCAAAAAGAAAGCGAATCAAACACAACCACAGCAACCGCCATCATCGCAGAGACTCACGAAGACGCGCGTGGCGTCATAACCGGCGGAGACACGGCCCACAAAGCCAAGAGTACAACAGAATTACCATATATTTTTTTAGATGCGTTTAACGAAGAGTGAGAAAGAAGACAATCATCACGAGCGTTGGTGAGCACGAGGAAAGATCTGGCAAGACGACGGTGCGGCGGTGTGCTGCACTCCGCACTCTCCTCCCTTCTTCGATTCGCTTCTCTCGTTTCGCAACCCCCCGCCCCCTCCCTTCCTTAGGCAGACCACGTTTTGGATCTCTCTCACGCTGTCTCCGTGTTGTTGTCAACTTGGGAGTCCAAAAAAAAAAAGGAACAACAGCAAGAGCTGACACACACGAACACACGCACAGGGGGAGGCGTCGGTGGAGAGCGCAGCTCCGGTACGACGCGTGACGAGGTGAGTGGGAGAGTTGAGCGATGATCAGCGAAGAAAGAACACACACAGAGCGCGCAGTGACAGACACCGCGGCGGACCTTCGCACGTACAAGCATTGAAGCTCAGGGCGGCACCACACGACGCAGCAGACACGAAAGAGAAGAAGAAAAATACCGCTGGCAGTTGTTCTTGCTTCTACAGATTCCGCAGTCACACGAACATATTACTGCAAGAAAGGGGCGGTGCTCTCACCGCCAATGCGCCTCCTTCCTTGCGTCGTGGACGGCCCTTTTTTAACATTTCCGTTTTTGCGTGCCTCAACGCGGGTACGCGTGCCGCTCTCGCCCACCGCTTCACCGTGCTGCATTCATCGCTCCCTTTCTGGCTTCTTTACCGCCTGTTGAAGCCGCTATTATCCATGCGGGGACGCTTGAAGCCGCCCGCCTGGCCACCACCGAAGCCGCCGCGCTGCTGCATGCCCGCACCGGCGCCACGGGCGTTGCCGCTCTTACCGTAGGTGATGCCTTCCTCAAACTGCTTCAGGCGGTTCTCCACCTTGCTGCGGTACTCGAGGGCGGGTGCGTTGTCGCCCTCGCCGAAGGAGTCGATGCGCGCGCTGAGCGACGCCTTCGCCGCCAGCACACGCGACATCGTACCCTTCTGCGCCGGCGCCGCCTTGGCCACCACCGAGGCGTTGTACAGAATACCGTACTTGGGCGTGGCCTGCCGCTGCTTCAGCGCGCGGAAGAGGGCCTTCTCGGCGCCGAGGATCTGCACCGTCGAGGACGGGTACTTCGCCAAGGTGAGGAGGGAGCCAGCCTTCTGGATGAGGCGGGCACCGATCTGCTCGCCCACCATCGTCGTCAAGTTCGGCGCGATGGTCTGCATGCGGGACGAGAGGTACGTGGAGAGCTGCTCGCGGTACTTCGAGGCCGCCACCACCTCATTGCACAGGCGGCCGATGTTCTCGATATCCTCCTCGGCGATCTCCGTTCCCATCGACACCATCGCCGCGTCCTTCACCTTCTGCTCCATTTCCTCCTCGAGGAAGTCAGAAAAGTCGGTGTCGCGGGCATTGAAGCGGGTCTTCATGGCCAGCATGATCTTGCAGTAGGCCACGTTGTCATTCACGATCTTGCCAAGCTCGGGGAAGTGCCAGCCGTACCACTCGCGCGCACGCATGCCGTACTTGTTGATCTCCTTGTCCAAGTCCTCCAGCAGCGAGACGGCCTGTACGACCATCACATCCACCTTGTCCGGTGAGAACTTCAGCTTATAGCGGTTCAGGTTGTGGGCGAGACCGAGCGCCGTCTGGTTCAGCTGCTCGGCCGACACGTCCTCCATGATGCTGTCGATGTTCGCCTTCAGCGCGCGGAACGTCGGCAGCGTGTCATCGCCGAAGACGCACGGGATGGCCAGCGTCTCCTTGATAGCCTTCGCCAGCTTCGCATCGGCGACGGCGAGCTCCTCTGAGACCTCCTTCTCCAGGTAGTTCTTCTTGAGGAACTTGCGCACCGGCTTCGACAGCTCGCCGTTCACCAGCTGCGTCGTCGTCTCGAGGGCGTCGGCAGTGCTCTTGAAGTGGAGGAGCGCCTTCATCTTGCGCTTCTCGCCGTCCACCTTGAAGAGGGCCACACCGGCCGGCAGCTCGAGCAGGGCGTACACCATTGTGGAAAGCTGCAGATGTGTGTGTTTTTTCGTAATGATTTCCTTGATTAAATTACGCTTGTTTACACGGCAAAAACGAGAAGAAAAGAGAGTTGCTGCTACTACGTGGGAGTGAGCTGTGTTTCCTGTCCGCTCCGCGAAGGATGAACGCCGGAGAGCCAACGAGAAGAGAAGAAATGGATTACTTATTGGAAAGGCGAGACATGGGAGATGAGAGGAAAGGACAACGAAGAGAGCAGATGAAAATGAAAGATTAGGGACAGAGAAAGGTTCTCGAAGTGTGGCATGAAGTGGGCGAGCACGGTTGCAGACGGCACGCAAAGGAGAGGAAGAAGTGCGTACGCTGCTAGCGCGCGGCCTCCCGTGAAGAAGTACTCATACGTGGCATATCGAAATAATTATGAATAACGCGCAGGACGGAGGTCGAGGCAGCTCCTCATGCGTCTTCTGCGTCTTTGAAGGGAGAGAACGTCTCGCCTGGAAGCACAACAAAAAAGACCCCCCACACACACGGAAACCGTTGGAGAGTCGTATCTATTCGGATGATCCTGCAGGAGAGCATGTCGTCCGTCAGCCCGCGCCAGCTTTGACGTGTCGCTGCCCCCTTCCCCACGGGCGCCTGAGCGCAGTGTTAGAATTTTTTTGGGGAGCAACTAATTGCCTTCTCAGCCTCTACTGCGTCGTTCGGCAGATTTGCCGTGCGGACGACGGGTGAGTGGGCAAAGGGCTTTCACTTGACCTTCCGCTCTGCCCTCTGCACGGCGGTAAGCGCGGTGCGCAGCACCTTACCCCCCTGCCGCGTCAGCGCATTCGAGAGCACCGACAGCGCCACAAAGATAAGCACGTAAGCGGGGCGGAACAGCACGGAGCGAAGCGCGGCGGGAACCGGACCACTGATTGGCGGCGGGGCCAGCTGGTAGTTCACGTTCAAACCAATGAAGAGACCGTAGGGAGCGAAGATGGAGAAGTTCACAAACGTCGGCACCCACGTGAGGTGAAAGACGTGCGGCCAACTCAGCCCCAACGAATCGTATCGCGCCGCGTAGTAGACGGGGAGCAGCAGCAGAAGCGTGTGATGCGTGAAGAAGATGTAGCCCTCCCAGAAGAAGCGGTGGTCACCCCAGTCCGGCTCCAGCGCAGCCGCCACCGGCGCCCACGACCAGTCCATCATCAACGTTGCCAGGTAGCAGTTATTCGCGTAGCTTCGCGGCGTGTCGTGCAGGAAGATGTAGATCCACACGGCAGTGAAGACGTGGCAGGGCATGAGCAGCCACGCCAGCTGCACCAGCGGCTTCGGCCGGGAGCCCTTCACGTACACCTGTGCACCCAAGCACACAATCAGCGTGGCTGCGACGAGGGTGTTGATGGGGCACCTCACCGAGCGGCCGGCGCCCTTCACGGCCAGCTGGGCGATGGCGCCGCCCCTGAAGCCACGCGAGCGCTTCTGCAGCACAGCACAGAAGATCATGCCCAGTACGAAGAGGCCAATGTGCACCTTGGGTGGCTGGAACCAATACTGGTTGGCGGACACCACACCCCACTTCAGACCGGTGTGGCTCGCGAAGGTCTGCAGAGCGCCCGCGAGGACGTCCGGGACGACGGCGTCACAGAGAGCGGTAAAGGCGCTCTCCATCTTCTGTTTTGGGAGGGTTGAAGGCGACAATAAATCGCTGCGGGGTGAAACGGCAGTAGCGAGAACGGCGCAAAGAGCGACGCTGCTCACCATTCGGAGACGAGATGAAGAAGGGAGAAAAGGGGAATAATTAAGGTAGCTGGAGAACACGTTGCCGACACCAACGCAGCCCGTTTGAAGTGGCTGACGCGATACATCATGCGCCTCACAATAATCGACACGAGCTGCCGAGGCAAAAGGTGGAATACGAAGACGGCTATTACGGACGCCCCTCCCCTGAGTCAGCTCCAACCACGCAAATTCTGTCACGCTGCGATGTACAGCACGTTGCGTTATAGGCCGCGCTGCAATCCTCTCAACGTTGGCAACGTTCTTCGGGCGAATTGCTCCGTCGCTCATCCTCTTCTGTTGCTGCGGAGAAACGGTGAAGATCCATCTTCTCCCGCCGAAGCACTGAAACGGCGCAGAGGAAACGAAAGGTGTTTCTTCTTAAGCTGTGACACGGCACGCCTGCGCAACGCAGGTGGCGACCCACTATCAACCCTCTTCCCTCTTCACCCCCCCCCCCTTCCCCCCTCACGCACAGATGCCAGAGAGCAAAAAGAGAAAGAAGAAAGCAAAATTCTGACACAACGTTCAACACCAAGTATAATCCACGCCAGCAAATAAACCCCCTCCACACTTTTCTTTCTAAAAGTAGCCTTTACTTTTTTTCGGAGTCGCCCATTTCCTTCTCAAGTGCCGCGAGCTCCGCCTCAAGTCGAGCTACCTCGTCGTCCGCTACCTCCTCCGCTCCTCCACCAACCTGCACCTCGTCGCTGGCACCCGCACCCGCTGCCTCGGTGGCGGGCGTCCCGCTCGCTACGTTATCAGCGGCAGAGGCAGACGCGCCGCGGCCCGCAGCCGCTGCAGCGATCTCCGCGTTGCGCTCCGCATTCTCTTCCAGTGGGTAAAACAGAAGGTCCAATGGCGACTGTTTGTACCACGTCTGCTCGCCCGCGACGTAGCGGCGGCAGTTGTCACTGACGTGCCAGAATCCGAGCTCCTCCGCGTGCTCGAGGGCGTAGGCGGCGCAGTCCTTGCGATCCATCCGCAGGCACGCCTCTAAAAAAACCTCAAAGGAGTCGTCGCTGAGGCGGATGTAGTAGAGGTTGCGACACTGGTTCAGCAGCTGGCACGCGTAACTGAGATCGAGTGGGCGTTCCACGAGGTCAAACGCGGTGTGCAGGTCTTCGACGGTGGGCCGCTCACTGCCCTGGAAGCAGTGAAACTTCTTATGCCACTCCAACACGTACTTCTCGAGGGCCGTCTCGGGTCCCTCCAGCCGCGCCTTCTGGAGGAGGTGTCGCTTTTTGCTGAGCCACACCGGCTGATGGGCCATGCACTTCGGCCGGACGTAGGGCCGATCTAACCCACCGAGCCACGCCTGGTAAAGCATTTCGGTACGCTGGTGATCGGGCTGCTGGATGACGGTGTAGATCTTCCAGTTGTCGGCGCCCTTCAAAAACAGCATCCAGTACGGTCGCCGGTATCGCAGCGACGCTCGCAGCGCACCCGACACGCGAAGCATACTTCTGCCGCTCCTGTGGTCTAAAGATGTACTGGAGGAAAAGAAGAAAAGAACATGACAAGAGAGAGAGGAGAGACGGCAAGCACACCGAGCGCAACATGGATTGAGGTCAAACAGCGACCGAGTTTTCATTGCATTTTTCGCTGCGCGGGTCCGCTTTGCGCCGGTGCAGGTGAACAGCCGCGGAGTCGCGGGCGGTGTGTTCCTCCACGCGGTCTCACCGCCGCACCTCCGCGTCATTGGTGTGCTTCTTTGTAGGTGGGGTGTACACCAGGTCCATCAATCACTTTCCATCCGCCGAATGAGAAGAACACATCTATTTCACAGTCCTCCCGCCTTTTGCTTTCGTCGCTTTCCTTCACTCCCTGGTGGGCTGGCAAAACAAAACTCTTTGATAAGCACACAGAGGAAGGGAGAGAGTGAAGCTATCAGCAAAGGCGCACACGAGATTCTTTTATGATTGTCATGTCGAAAAGCCCAATGAAAATAGAACGACAGAACACAGCAGTCAAAGACGATGCGAGGATCAGCGAGACCAACGGCGCGTTCGAGGGGTAGCAAGTGGCTCCTGCTGCATCACGTCCCGAGACGTCGATCTCCACCCACCGGAACGGCTTGAATGACGCACGAGCCATATGGACAGCGGTGTAGAAGGGAAAGGTGCGACGCGATTCGTCCTTCAAAAGAGCTACGGTCCCTGCTCACTGCGCGGGCCCTGCATCACAAGCACGATGAAAGTGTTCAAGCAACTGACCCGTGCTCCTCCGCCTGCTTCAAAGCAACCGCCAACTTCCTCTCTGCCTCTCGCAGCCGCCTGTGATATTTTTTATACGCCTTCAGCTTGAGCTGGTCCACCGTCTTGGACGTCCGCAGCGGCGTATTGGACACGGCCTCTGTGGACGGCGATGCGGTCCGCGGAGGAGAGGTCGTGCAGCTCGCATTGCGTGCCTGTGCCGTTGGTGGTGGACTGCGTAGCCGGTGCGGTGGCGACGACGCTGCCTCTGCCCTCTCCTCTGCCTTGTCCACAGGGCTGTTGGCGCTACGGGTCGGGTCGACACGGTTTAAATAACGCTGGTAGGCAGCCCGCAGCTGCGTCTCCGCCGCGACTGGCTCTGGGATGGTAGCGGTGGCGGTGGTGTGCGGCGACGCGAAGCGGCGCAGGCGAATCGAAAACGGGTCTTCGGCTCGCTGCTGCTGCTGCTGCTGCTGCTCGTTGACGTTTGCAGCGGCTGTGGGGGATCCTTCCGGCGGCGGCTGTTGCGGCTGCAGATGGCGCAGAGGGGTTGCCGCAGCGTCCGCCGGGACGCCCCCGTTCTCTTCTACCTCTTCGTGTGCCGCCGCCGCTGCTGCTGCTGGCTGACCGGCCGGTGCTCCGTCAGCGCCGTTCGTCGCCTGCGCTGCATCGCTGCTTGGCATGCGCATGATGTTGGCACGGCAGTATGGACACGTGGAGTGTCCCTCCAGCCAATGCTCGAGGCACTCCGTGTGGTAGCAGTGACCACACGGCAGCCGCTTCGTCCCGCTGCCTGGCGCCATGTCCTCGTAGCAGATGGTGCACCGCGCATCCCGCGCGAGGTCGTCCGCCGTGGCGTCCGGCATGTCGTGCCGCACGCGGCGGGCCAGCACGAGAAACTCCGCGAGGCCCGACGCCTTCTCAAAAATGCGCAGCGCGTGCGAGATGAAACCGCGCAGGAGGAGCAGCGGAAGGGTGGACTTCATGAATATGTACGCGTAGACGCCGACAAAGAGCAGCGACTCGGCGATGCTGGTGATGACATCCGCCACAAACGGCAGCAGTGTGTGCCGTTGGCGCAGCACGAACAAACTCCCAAAGCGCACCGCGCTGCGCAGGGAGGAGGTGACCAGCAGCATGTAGATGAGCAGCAGCGAGTAATGCAGGGAGGCCTTCTCGTTTCGCAGGTCCGGCCTTGTCTGAAAGAGCCACAGAAGCAGGCCGACATCACCAATAAGAACGACGTTGAGGTACGCCACCATGCGAGAGATGGAGAAGAGCGTCAGCTGCACGGTGGAGAGCGTCGTCACCCGCTCCGCCGCAAGTTTGTGGAGCAGCCGCCACACCAACGTGAAGGCGAAAAACACCATCGTGCTGCTCATTAGCGTGAGGTTAAAGTACAGTGGCACGACGATGCACTCGGCGAGGTAGATCGTAAAGGACGTCAACAAGGCTGTTTCTTCAGACGCGTTCAACTTGCCAAAGAACACGAACTGCATCGCAAACCACAGCAGCATCATCGCTGCGAGCACCGTGTTCACCATCATGAGACGAAACGCGGAGGAGTTCGCCAAGGCCACCATAGTGGGGTAGAAGGCACGGTAGGTGTTGGCGTAGTCGGCTAGAAACAACACATTCGCCACGAAGCTGGCGGCAATATAGGCTGCCACCGCCCTTCGAGTGACCATGGCTTGGGGTGATTCTTTCCTTTGCTTTGCTGTGCGTTGGAGCTCGCGTGGCGGTGGACATCCCCACGCCGGCGTAAACCCGCGTGAGGCGAGAAAACAAACAACAACGGAGGGAGAAAGAAGCGGTAGGGTCGGAGACGCGAGTGAAAATGAGCGCGAGAGAAACAGCAAAAGATGAAGAACAATAATTGGAATGGCGTCGCGCAACCGAAGCAAACGCTGCGGCAAGCTCTACAGCTCGTACACCACTCCGTTGCGCACGACTTGATCACCTTGGCTTCTTGCCGGATGCAAGCATCGCTAGTCTTCTAAGGGGCAGAACACACTGACTCCAACATTCGCATGCCTGGCGTGCCGAGCAGCTGATTCAAAGAATAAACAGTTCTTGGTAAGTTTTTTGAATCCTTAATAACAGAGGATGGACGAGAAACAATGGTGCGGCACTCGAGAGAGAGAGAGAGACGCCTCTCACACACCCGTCGAGTGCGCAAGACGGCGCAGTTGATGCAGGTCTTGCTTCATTCGGTGCTCCTTCTCCACCTCCGCACTCACCTCGCTCGCCGCTGCCGTCACGGCGGCCGGCAGTCCGGCCTTGCGACCGATGGCCACTCCAAAACTAGAGGGTGTCACACCTCGACACGGTTTGTACGTAAACACCAGCTGTTTGGTGTTCGCCGCCCCCGGCTGCCCCGCCGTCTCCACAAAGCCCATGAAGTAGCAGCTCACACCCGTCGTCGCTCCGTCTGGAGCCGGGGAACCCGCCCTCTCCTCAGCCGACACGTAGGGGTCGCACAGGTAGGAGTAGTGTGTGACGAAGATGGTGGTGGCGCGGTTGGCGAGCAGGTACTCCAGTGTCGCAGCGGCCACCGCCGCGCCGTCGAAGCTGCTTGTGCCGCGGCCGAGTTCGTCCATCAGCACGATGGACCGCGGCAGGTCCGCGGCACGCAGAATGCGACTCGTCTCTTCCATCTCGGAGAGAAAGGTGGAGCTGCCCTCCAAGATGGAATCACTCGCCCCCATTCGGCAGTACACCCCGTGAAACACCGGCATCACCGCCGCACCGGCCGGTACCCCGCAGCCAATCTGCGCCAACACCACAAACGACCCTACCATCCGCATCAGCGCGGACTTACCGCCCATGTTCGGCCCCGTCAGCAGCCACGCCCCGCCGGCGCGCAGCTCTACGCTGCAGCTGACGTAGCCGTGGGGTAGAAGCTGGTCTAGAACGGGGTGACGGCCGTCGCTGATCGAAAGCGACACAGCCGCGGATGTGTCCACCTTCCTCGCGGCGGTGGCAAGCACATTGGACGCGGCGACTTCCGGTAGGTCCACCAACTGCGGCATGACGTAGCCCGGCTGACGTGAGGCGACGGCCAGGGAGTGAAGGGCGTCCAGCGAGCCGACCGCCGCCACTACGCCGTGCAGCGCCTCCATCACATTTGCGTCCGCCACCACCTCGCGTTGATGCTGCCGCCACGCCGCTGCCGCCGCCAACACCAACCGCTCCGTCGCCGCCGTGCGGGCGATGTGCTGCTCGACGATGGCCGGCGTGTGGTACCGCACGTGGGTTTTGGTGCGGGTCTGCACGAGCCAATCCGCCGGTACGCGGCCGCATTTGCCCTGTGGGACGTCTAACAAGTACGAGGTGCCGGCGATGGTGCGGTACTCAAGGCCCGGCAGGTGCAGCACCTCGCGTGCGGCCTTCAACTCCGCCTCGAGCGCCGCCTCTGCTGCCCTCTTCGCGTCCCAATGAATCTGCAGCGCTGCTGGCACGGCGCGGCCGCCTTCCGTGAAGAACTCCAGCGGTGTCGTGGCGGTCGTCTTGAGCAACGCGGTGTTCGCCTCCAGCAGCTGCGCCACGGCGGGGCCGTACACCAAAGACAGCAGCGAGCGAATGAAGACTGGGGGGACGGCGTCACTGACGGCGTCAGCAACCCCATCATCTCCGCCGATATCTTGCCCGTCTGCGCACAGCTGATGCGCCAGCGCGGCGACACCGCGCACCATGCGCAGCAGTCGCACAAATTCCACCACGTGGCAACGCTCCGCGTGTAGCTTGCCCACCACCGCCTCGACGTCGCCGAGACGGGCGCACTCCTTTAGCAGCTCCTCCACCAAACCCCCATCGCTGCCCTTCATCAGAAACACCGTCGCCGCCTGCCGTGCTTGGATGGCGGTGCGGCTGCTGAGGGGAGCGGCGAGCCACCGCCGCAGGCATCGTGCGCCGCACGCTGTCAGACTGCGGTCCAGCAGCCCGAGCAGGGAGCCGCGAGAGCCGACACTGCTATGAAAGATGTCCAACGCACGCAACGTTGGGCCTGGCAGGTGCAGCGTGCGTGCGTCCTCCTCGAAAGACAAGTGCTGAGTGGACTGCATCGGAGAGGCATCGAGGTCCGACTGGATGGAATCCGACTGACGGTCAGCGTGGGTGCGGCTGCACAGCAGACGATACACCTGATCGAGCTTAAACGGTTTGAGGTATGCCTCCACCGCGGAGTCCACGTCCTGGCCACGCCTGTACACGAAGCCCGAGACGGTCACCGTCCTGTCGTCTTCCTCACCGTTGATGGTGGGACCGAAGTGGAGAGGGAGGGCGTGGTGTAGGGCCACGCTGTACACCTCGGGGAGCGCCTTCAGAAAGCGTGCCGTTGTCCGCTGAAGGTGCGCTGCTCCGCCCCCTTTGCTCTCCAGCGGCGGGGGCGTCTGCGCCGTCAGCACCACCACCTCCGCAATGTCGAAGCGCTGCGTCACATCCTCCATCTCGAGTGCCGTCCGCACCGTGAGGTGGAGGCGTCGCTGCGTCACAAAGCTCACGAGAATCATCTCGAGTGGTGGCCACCGCGTCGGTGCTGTGGCGTCCTCGTCGACCCCCTCCACCTCGGCTCGTCCATCCACACTTTGAGCGCTTAGAAAGCACAGGAAGAGCTCTGACGCGTCCACCGCGCCGTTGGAAGACGGGTGTCGTCGCGGGTTGGGTCCGGCCCAGCTGGTCTCCTCCGCCTCACCCCCCTCTTCGTCCCCCGCAGCGTCGTTGTCGCCATTTTCGAATACAACTGGCGACGCTGCCCCCGCTGCTGCCGTGCTATCGCCTCCGCCGTTCGTCACGACGTGCTCCGTCGGCAGCAGCGTGCCACGGCTGTACAGCTGCGATACGGTGCGCGTGAATAGGCCACTCTTCAACCCGTCCGCCGCCCGCATCGCCGCGGACTCCTGATCCGCAAAGCCAACCTGGTAGCCCATGGCCACCAGCCGGTGCACGTACAGGTCCACGCGGGTGTAGGGGACGCTGCTGTACTCGAAGGGCTGGCCTGGGATGCACATGATGCCGACACGTCGGCTCACGGCGCGGCTATCGCAGCCGTAAAACTTGACCCGGTAGCCGCAGGCCACCAGGAGAATGACGTGGGGGGCGATGGACTCCTTGAGGGCGACGACCTGCCGTTCGAGCGGGGTCAAGCTGAGTCCCTCCGTCTCACCGTTGGCGGGGGTGCGGCAGCACAGCACTTCGATGGCGTGCGCGACGCTGTCCGCATCGTCCTGACGCCCTCGCTTACTCATCTTCTCCTTCTATGGCCGTGGACAGTGGCAACACGGGGTTTATGGTTTCTATGTGAGCTGTATGTGAAATAGCTATAGCAATAATAATAAAAAGTCGGCTACAAATGCGGTTGGTTTGAAACTCGTAAAACAAAACAATTGCAAGACGACAACGCCTGAAACTGTGGGTCAGGTTGATTTGAGGCTGCTTCAATAATGAGCCGAGAGAATCGGCAGCAACGGCGCAGTAATTCTTAACTGCGATCGATTCTACGACGGTATGTAGGCGTGAATGTGTGCCCTGCGTCACTCAGTGGGTAGGGCAGACACAGCTTTTGTACGTCTCGGCACCTGGTCACCGCCACAACAGTGTCCACAGCTTGCCGCTACTTCTTATTAATCTTGAGTCTTGCTTAAGACAGAGATGGAAAGAGGATAAAGGAGAAAAAACAAAGAAAAAAGAAGGAGACACGTTCGTGGCTTCGTGTACCCTTACGGCAGCAACGCGCAGACGCAAAACGGTGCTGCACATCCCACAGCCACACAGCGAAAGAAACAAAAACAAATTCCTCGTGAAAGCTGGAAGGTCAGCTGCATCGCGGCATCGTTCATGGTGCGATGAGCTCCTCACCGCTTCGGGAAAAGGGCTTCGCGATCCGAGTTTGCTCCGTTGTACCTTTCTTTTCTTCGAGAGTCTTCCAGTGGCTTCATTTAGTGGAGAAAGCAATAAACATGCACAACGGTTCCAATAGTAATAATAATAACAAACGCGTAGAGAGAAAAACATAGGAGGATAATGTTTTCCCGCTGTTCCAACAGAGCAGAAAATCTGCAATTTTCGTTTCTTTCGGCGGAGGAGTCCGACGGGCATTCGCGCATGTCCTCGCGCACACACATGTGTTGTTGCGCCGCTGCGGCGCTAGTCGCCTCCCACCTCGTCGCCCGCTGCCCCCCTCAGCATTGCGTCGATATCGTAAACATCATTGAAAGAGAGAGAGAGCTAAAAAAGGAAAAGAGACAGGTGTTATGTACACAAGAGCTGAAGTTACATCGATAAAAACAAAGAGAAAAGAAACATCAAAGCGGGGCGGTGAGCCCTTACGCAAACACTCTCGGAGTGGATTAGAGATGAGGAAAACAAAGTAGAAGATGAACGTTGGGTGAGTAGAGAGGGGGAAAAGGGAGCTGTGGTGGATAGAAGCTCCCTCGATGTCCTCTGCTGCCTCAATCAGAGGGGGATAAACAGGCAAACACACATCCATTAAATGGTGTGGATGAAGGCAATGAGAAGGCAAAGGTTCGTGGCCCTCATCGCTCCATTACACGCGCATCGTGCTCGCATTGTTCAGACGGGCGGCGCAGTACTCCTTGAAGGCTTTGTCCGCCACCAGGTGGTGCTGAACGTTGCGGCGGCGATCATCCGCGAGCTTCTCGCTCAGTTCGTCGTCCAGGTAGACACCGCTGTTCAGCTCCAGATGCCCCCACGGCTTGTCGTGCATGGGGGAGTAGTTGTTCACGAAGCGCGACAATCTCGTGCCGGTCATGTTGAGCGATGTCTCCTCACCGGAGGGGGCGGAAGATATCGGGTCAAAGACCTCCGGAGGCATGCTGTACAAGGGGGGTAGACTTGCTTTTGATTGCTTTGTCAGGCTTATGGATGCGACTCCGGCAGAGCGTCGAAGAGAGATACAAAACTCTTTTGGAAAAAAAAACTGTCCCTTCACACTTCGAAAACTGGAATATGCATGTTGGGGCGTGTAACAGCGCCAGGCAGAGCAACGCGTCGCGGGAGATCAAGAACGATAAGAAAAAAGACAAGACAAGAAGGATGAAGAACGAGCCGAAACGTCAGCGTCGACGTGAAGTCCACATCGGAGCCACGCACGACAGGAGGCAGCAAACTCACACGCAATTCGCCCACGGTGAGCCACCGGTGGCCCGCGACGACGTCAAGTGGAACGAAACGAGGGGGCGCATTGCGCGTCTTTTCCCTATCCACTCGCAAAACGCCCGATTCACATTCCCCCCAAAAAACAGCACATCACACGACCGTTCGTCTCACAAACCAAAGAAAAACTCTTAAGAGAGCGGTGCGGTACACATCAGCCCGCGATGGTAACCGTATTGCGCAGCTCCGCCACTCCGTGAGTGAAGTGAGGTAAGTGCTTTCGCTAGACACTAATGATACGCTGTTGGTTATTTTGTATGACGCAGACGAACTGCACGCGTTAAGTCGACAAATAAAGCGAAGAGTGCGCACGCAGACGACGAACCGTAAAAAACCGACCACCAACAAAAATCACACGCGGCGGTCACTTGCCCAACACGCCATCAAGTCGTCCTGCGCTTCGCAGTAAAAACGTACTTTCATCATTTTGCCACATGAGAAAACAAAACGGCTTCTTGTTAGAGTTTCAAAGCGCGTGACTGCAAAGATGGTCGTCACGCGTGCGCCGGCGCGCTCTCGCCTCCCTGTCTTCGCTGGCTTACAACACTTAGTGCAAAAAGAAAGCTATCCCCTTAATTCATTTGGGGTCAAACAGCGCTGCTGCTTACTTCTTCTTCCTCTGAGCCGGCTCGGCGACGGCCGCCTTGCTCTTGTCCTCGCGTAGGCTCAGCACGCGGTTCATGACGAGCTGGTCCGGCGTTGTGTCGCTGTCCACCACGAAGTAGCCGAAGCGCTCCACTTGGATCGACTCAAAGGGCTGGAACTTCTCCACGCCTTTCTCCGCGTAGCCGTGCGTGATGACCTCGCTGTTCTCGTCAATGAACTTCAAAAACTCCGGATCGATCGCGGCCCGGTCGTCCTTCAGCAGCGGGTTGTACAGACGCACCTCCACCGGCGTCGAGGCCGTCGCGCTGACCCACGAGATGTTCGTCTTGGGCTTGTCCTTGCGCTCAAAGTCGATGTCGACGTGGATCACCGTCGGCTGCCCGTTCTTGTCCACCTCGAAGCTCTTGCAGACGACGTTGCCGGAGTATTTGAGACCCACCGCACGGGGGCCGGGGGCCAGGCCGTAAAACTTGCTGTTGTCATCCATCGTGTGGAAGTCGCTGCGATCGACGTAGAAGGTGTCGGTGAAGGGGACGCTGCGGTTGCCCAGCTCCGGCCGCCGCGGGTGGTTCGGGCACTCCACCGCCATCTCGCCCTTCCAGTTGTCCACCACCACCTTGATCGGGTCGATCACCATGAGACGGCGCTCGCAGCGCTCATCGAGGTCCTCGCGCAGGGTGTTCTCCAGCATGCTGATCTGAATCACGTTCATCGAGCGGGTGATGCCGACCAGTTCGCAGAAGCGGTTGATGGCCGCCGGGGTGTAGCCACGGCGCCGCATACCGGCCAACGTGAGCAGGCGAGGGTCGTCGAAGCCGCGAACGATGCCTTTGCGGACGAGCACGTTGATCTTCCGCTTCGACAGCAGCGAGCCTGTCACGTTCAGCCGGCTGAACTCCCATACGTGCGGACGCCATAGGTTCAGCTCCGCCAGCAGCCAGAAGTAGCTCTCCCGGCGTGTCTCGAACTCCAGCGTGCAGAGGCTGTAGTCGATGTCCTCCAAGGAGTCGATGAGGCAGTGGGTGAAGTCGTAGCTTGGGTAGATGCACCAGGTGTCTTTGATGTGCGGGTGCTCCACGTACTTCACGCGGTACGCGATGAAGTCGCGCATGTTCGGATTGTCGCTCTTCATGTCCGCCTTCACGCGCAGCGTCGCCTCGCCCTCGGCGTAGCGGCCCTGGCGCATGTGGTTGAAGAGGAGCAAGTTCTCCTCGACACTGCGGTTGCGCCACGGGCTGTCCTCACGCAGTTCGCGCTGCTGCTTTAGCTGGTCGGGAGTGCTGTGGTCGACGTAAGCCTTGCCCGCCTTGATGAGCTGCACGGCAAAGGCGTACAGCTCAGCGAAGTAGTCGGAGGAGTAGGTCACCCAGTCCGGCCTCCAGCCCATCCACTCCACCATCTCCACAATCGCATCGATGTACACCTGATCCTCCGCCTCGGGGTTCGTGTCGTCGTAGCGCAGGTAGCACTTGCCGCCGTGTGCGCGGGCGCTGCCAAAGTTGAGATTCATGCTCTTGGCGTGCCCAATGTGGAGGAAGCCATTCGGCTCCGGCGGAAAGCGGAAGTACGGCGCGCCGCCAGTCTTCTTCTCGTGTGCGGCGATCAGCTCTGGTGTGTTCAGATAACCCTCGACAGGGCGTCCGCTCTGCAGAATGGAGAGGTCGCGCTTTGTCTCACCCTCTGCTGCTGCTGCTGCTGCGGATGCCGCCATCTTCGCCAATTGGGGGAGGAGCCGACGGAACGTTGTTGGAAAGGGATGATAATGAGAAGAAGGAGAGAAAGTGAAGCGTAAGAAGCGTTGGTGCGATGCGCGCGCCCCACTGACGTAAGAGACGCTAAGTTGGGGATGGATCGAGGAGATTTGCTCTGTCGCGATCGGTTTTTGTGGTTGTGTGAGTTGTGGACGGTGCAAGCGCCGTCGCCGCGAAGCGAGGAGAGGGAAAACCAACAAATGATCATAATAGTGTGAGAGAGACAAGATGGGGAGAGAATGAATACGAGCGCGCATTCAAAAGACTTCTTATTTTCCCCTTCGCCTACAGAATCGGGCAGACACAAACCCAGCCGCTTTGGTCGGTTGAGCCGACCCTGTCGTGGACAAGAAACGAAGCGAGCGATCTCGCCTCGTTTTCCTCTCCGTTGTTTGATCATTTTTATGTACTTTGCCTTGTGGGGTCGCCTTCCCCGCCGATAACAGAGTCGCCCGCCGCACATCGCCCCCAACAACACAGTCGGAGAAAACACTAAAGAAAGGGGACACGACTGCGACACACGTGTGTGTGTGTGTGTGTGTGACGTGGCGGGCACATCACCGAACGCTTTTTACCGTCTTACAAGCTGCTAGGAAACAGACACACAAACAACAACAACAACGCAGAGCACAGCTCGGACATAGAGGGGTTCTCTCTCCATCCGACTATGGACCCTCTCGCGACTGAGGTGCCCTCCGTTATCGTCTCTTCGAGCCAAAGAAAAAAAGAAAATAATTCTATGGGATGGGTGCACCGTACACCCGCGCTTTTGGCTGCTTCGTCAACACGCCCATTGAGCTTGCGCAACGCCAACGTAAAAAAACGCCTGCCGCTCTGTTTTTCGTTCTGTGACCTTTCCTTGAGGCGCAGTAGAGAAGAAAAACCTCACCAACGCAGACTTGAGCCAGAAGAGGCGATATACGGCACAGCTTTCTGTTCTCTCTTTTATTAAACCAAAAGCACCGGCGAAGTAACTGCGACCCAAGAAAGCCGCTTTTTAGTCTATGAACGCAGCCAACGCCCTTCCGGAAGAGCAGCTGAGGAGGGAGGGGAGGGGCACTCCACAACAGTCATGAGAGCGTGAAGATACGTGTGCGGCTCTGCCGTCACGCTTCCACGACCTGTTGCGCACGCACGCATCTCTTCTGCCTCCTTTTGCTTTCGTGTGCTTACTCGGCATCGTCCACCTTCGGAGCGAGGTAGTAACGCAGGTAGCCGACGTTATCGATACCGTACTCCACCATGCACGGGCTGTCCTTGGCGAACTTCAGCGTCACGCGCTCGCTGAGCGTCGAGCCCTTCGCAAAGATGCCCATAAAGCGCAGCGCAAACGAGAGGGTAATGGGCTCCTCCATCGTCACCTCGACCCCGACCGCGTTGGCGTTGCCGTCCGCTTTGCTGTACTTGCGCGAGAGCGGTTCCTCGTCGTCGTCGTCGGCGCGCACTTCTGCCTTCACCTCCGCCTTCACCTCACTCTTCGCGCTGCGGTCCGACACGCCGGCGGCCTGCAGAAACGTGTAGCCCTGGCCGACATCACCCGACGTACTGAACTTCACGCCTTCCTTGCTGATGGCGATGGTGACGGTTTCGCCTAAGACCTGCATGTCCCGCACAATCTTCGCAAAATCGGCCGAGTTGAGCGTGACGGTGCTGCGGTAGTCCATTTCTGGGATGCCCATCGATTCCGCCTCGATCTCCAGCAGCTTCAGCTGGTACTCGCACTTGCGTGACCTCTCCGGGTTTTCGCACGTCAGCGTCACCACATCCGAGTCGTCGTCGTGCCGAAGGCTGAGACTGTCGTTGCTATCCACAATCTTCAGTACCTTGGAGAGCGACGCGAGGTTGAGGCCAAGGATGCTGTTGCGCTCACACTGGTACTTCACAAAGCAGTCGTCCCGCAGCAGCATGTGCACAAGAGCGACGTGGCTGGAGTCCATGGCCTGGATGGAGAGGCCGCCGGGGTTGCAGTCGAAGTTCGCCTCGCTCACCAGGCCATTGATGCACTCCACGAGCCGCTTCCAAAGACTGGCAAGCTGGACGTGAGCCTCGAGCATGATTGCGACGGGAGTTAAAGGGGGGGGGGAAGGGGTCTGTATGTCTATGTAGGTGAATACGAAGATGGCAAGCTGTCAAAGAGGAAAAAACACGTAGATTTCTGTGTGCTTTCTTTCTTTTAAACGAAGACTCAAAAGCGATCTTGACGAAACGTGAAGTAGAATGCAATATGATTTACGGTGAGCGAAGGTGACGCGGTGCGTGCTGGTCTGTACACAGAAAGAGGGGTAGAAGTATGGCGACAGGTGGTGTTGTGCGCGTGTTGCGCGGACAACGTCAATAACAAAGCACACTCACTCATTCACGCAGGGAGAAGAGGTGGGAGTGAAGTGCGTGCACGCGTGTGCAAACACGTGACGGGCGACCAAAGGGAAAAGAAGAAGGTGAAGCGGAGAGGCGAAGGAGCAGACGAAGGACCTACTTTGGCAACGGTGATGTGCGCCTGCCCCGTGATGAAGTTTAATCTTTTTTTATATATTTTAACGATGCAATTCGTCTTACAATTGGGTAGAAATCTTCTTTTCCGTCTTCTTAAATGAAACTTCCACCAGAGAAGAAGAAAAGAAGGCCACCTAAGAAAAACACGTTTTGAGGGTTTATGAACTGCGACGAACACCACGCATCGCCATTTGACTGGGCAAGGAATCGCCGGTAACCTCTCTCCCCACGTTGCATCTCTGCTTCTTCTCTTGCCTTTTGCTTTTTTTTTTTTTGATTCCCTCTTCATACGCTACAGCGGCTGGTGCGGCTTCATCAGCAGCCCGACCGGGTCTTCGCGCACCGTCAGCGGGCAGACGTTCATTGTTGTGTAGTTCTCCCAGAACTTCTCCACCTCCGCCGCGCAGGCGTCGCCCAGCACCAGCGCAAACACGGCATCGTAGCCACCAGCACCGGGGCACCCCACTGCGAACACGCCAGGCAGGACCGCCGTATCGTTCAACAACCCGCTGAGCTCATCTGGCTCAATCTTCACCTCCGCCGCAACACCCATGTCGTGCAGCAGCGTTCGGCTGCGCGCGGCGCACTGCGAAGCACGGATGATGCTCAGCACCACTGCGTTGTCGGACTGCTGATGGGGCAGCTGCGATTTGGTCTGTAGTTCCTGCATTGCCGCCGCGTACTCCGCCGGCTCCGCCTCCGCCTCCGCGATCATGCGCCGCAGCGCCGCGATGTAAGTCTCGTTGTTGTGCTGCAGTTGCTCCCACAAGTTGTCGGGGGCATCCGCGACCGACTTACGCCACGCCATGACCTTCGCCACCATGCCAGGTGTGCTCGACCCGCCTTGGTGGACGTCCCCCAGGACCAGCTTCACACCGGGCGGTAGGCGGAACGGCTCGTGCGGGACCCACGCGACGAGCATGTCCACGCAGCGCCGCAGCGCCGCCACCTCGACCGAGGTCGGCCGCTCCGCGCTTTCCATCATCATGGACACCCGAGAGGCGGGGAAGCGGCGGTAGGCGCAGGTGCCGTAGACGGCCGTGTACACGTCAAAGCCGCTGCCGATTTTGCCTTGGGTCACGCTGTGGGCGATTTGCGCCACGCGGTGCACCAACTCGTCGTCGCAGCCCGCCGCGTGGAAGTGGCCGCAGAGGCAGGCCACGATGCTCGTCGTCATGGCGGCGGAGGAGCCCAGACCCGTCTTCGAGACGGCGCCGACCAGCGGCGCATGCCGCGGCAACGCACGCAGGTTCGCCACGTTCACCGGCTTTTGCTCGGCTTCAAGGCGGTTGCGCTGACTGTAGAAGTCGTTGTCCGCCAGCAGCTCCATCCAGATCTCGCCGTCCACGCTGTCGCCCGTTGAGAGGGCAGCGGCGACGGAGTAGAGAATGGCGTAGAAGATAAAAGAGCTCTCCGGGCCCTCCGTCTGTCTTGCACTTACCGTGCCGTCCGTTGAGGTGTCCACGACAAAGACGTACGCCTGGTGAAACTGGGGAGAGTTCACGTGCACGGCGATCTGCCCGGCAGTGGCTGCCTTCGCTGTCTTAACGATGCGCGTCGTGAAGCGGGCATTGACACCGATAGAGATGCCGACATTTGGCGGGTTCGACGACTCAACGATAAGGTACCCACCGAGGATGAGAACCTTGCCAGGTGCAGACGCCTCCATGATGGTGACAAAGTGGCGGTGGTGGCGGAGAAGCGAAGGTAATGATTTCAGGATTTTACGGAAAGAGAGAAACGATAGCGGTGTTGATGAACTTCAGGGCAGTGACAAGACGGTGCAGGGCGACGCAGCAGTTGGAAAGGCAGGGAAGGAAGAAGGCAACGTGGGAAGGCGAGACGGAGAGGAGAGGGTGGAACGGCCTCGTAATCCAACACCCAGCAGCGATGGAAGAACACATGACGATGTAACCGAAGGGAAGAATGAAGCGAGATGAGCAACAGCTGCTGGAGTTGACGTTACTTGGCCTTCTACACCATAATTCTTCTTCTCTCAGCCGTGTGCGGCCGCCACCCGCATTGCAGCACAGGGAGAAAAGGGTCAAAAGAAGACCGTTTGTGCTCCGTCGAAGGGCCAATAGACGCAGGTGTGCACGTGCTGGCATTTGACGCAACGGCGGGGGGGGGGGGGGCCGACACCGCAGCACGGGCGTGCGAAACGATGCCTGACGAGGCGGCAGCGGGGACAACAGCAAAGGCAAAACAACAAACAGAACGCATTTCTTTTTTTATATAATCATCTGAGAACTTCGACCCAATGCGCCTCGCACGCTTCGGTGACGACGGCTAAGGAAGCAACAGTAAAAGAGACAGCAATCAAAAATAATAATAACACTAATAAGAGGAGAATTGTGGAGAAGTAAAACGCAAAGGGATGAGAGACACAACGCAACGACACAACACCCCCATCTATTACAAACGCTTCGATAGAACAGCAGCAGCCAGAGATCGGAAAGGAAAAAGATCGACAAAGAGCTCAATTAAAACAACGGAAAGAAGAGAAGAGATGAGGCTTGATACTGAGCTGTGCAAGCTATCCGCACCTCAAGCAGTACAACCTCCACCCCCTCCTCCCCCCTCTCCCCTACCTTGCCCGACTGCGTTCATTTCTTTTCCTCCAGGTCCTTCAACAATGCCGGGTCCACGGTGACGGTCCGCTTCTTCCGACGAACAGCGGCTAACTCCTCCTCCGTCGGCGCCTCCGTAATGACCACCGGCTCACCGTTCTCCTGCACCGCGCCGCCGTCCACGTTCGCCTGATGCAGACGGTAGAGGTAATACGCCGCACACAACGCGAAGGTGCCGACGCAGAAGAAGAATACCAGAAAGAAGACGTAGCCGCTGCGGCTGGTGCAGCACCACTGAGCGCAATCCTTCCTGGACGGGTCCACCACTTTGCACATTTCATTGGCGAGGCAGGGGTCACGGGCGCACTCCGCGCGCAGCGAGCGGTAGCCACCACACTTCGCAACACAAGACATCGCTTCTGCGTTTATTATTGTCGTCGCTGCTGCCAAGCGAGCGAAGGGCGGTCAGCTGATGTGGTCTAAAGGGATGCGGAGAGAAGAACGGAAAACGGCCACCTCTCTTCCGTGCAAGGAAGCTAATTCGATCTAGGATTTATGGTACACGCACGCAGAGCTCCGAGGTAAAGGAGCATTCAGCGACGCCGGGGGTAAACAAAACATCAAAATTAAAACGGAGAGAGCGAAGAGGAGAGGAGAGGAGAGGAGGAGGCTGCATGAACCACCGACACGGAGGAGCAGAAATGTGGAAAAGCCACACCGCATTCCGCGCTCAACGTGTTGAAGGCAACGAGAAGTCGCAACAAATAGACCCAGGAAATAAAACTACGGTGTCAAATCTCAAATAAGCCCCATTTGCTTTTGGGGTTTTGTCACTGTGAAGAGAAGAGAGGCGGTGAAGGTGTCTCGCGTCAAGACCCAACACTCTCTCCCCTCCAGCTGGTCGTCCTGCGTGAAGAGCAGCGGTGCCACAGTCGTACGCGGCTTCTCGTCGAAGAAAAAAGAGAACCAGAAAGTCGGTCACTCAATCCGTATGGCGCTCCGTCACGTCATCGTGAGTGGCCGAATTCAGGAGAGGACGTTCGTTGTATCGAAGTTAGCTCTTTTCTGTGGCGTGGCACACACCGTCACACCGTCACAGCTTATCCAACACAAAACAGATAACAACGGCGAGCAAAGTGAGACGCTCGCTGCCGAAGTTCTTTTAGCGAGGAGCAATTTACGAACTCTTAAAGCCCCGTGTACAAGTGCGAAGAAGACAGAATACAATAAAGGAAGTTAAAGAAAACAAAACGGCTTAAGCCGCTTTAGTACTTAGACAACGCACCTTACAGCAGACGCTCAATCTCCAGCTTCACTGCCTGCACCTTGGCCGCCACCGGGCTGTTCTCGCCCTGCAGAATCGCCAGCGCCACGACGTTGCGGGACACCTGCGCGGCGCGGCCCAACGCCGTCTTGGACGGCACAAAAACGTAGGGGACGTTCTTGTCTTCGCACAGCAGCGGCAGGTGCAGGAGAATCTCAATAGGGTTCGTGTCACCCGCCAGCACAATCAGGTCAGCGATACCGCGGTTCAAGGCCTTGGTCGCCTCATTCGCCCCCTTCTTGACCATCTTGGCGTTGCTGGCCTCCTGCACGAGATCGAGGATGGTTTGGCTCAGGCGATCCGTCGCAAGGGGGAAGGCCTTCTCGCTGATTTCTCCAGTCATTTCTCGGTGGGGGAGTGTGATATAAAGTAAAAACTTACAGAGTGTGGGACGTTGTGGCGCACGGATGCGTGTAGCGAAACTGCGGAGAGAGGGGAGGGGGAGGGAAGGCGGGGGAGGAGAGAAGGGAGAAACGTTAGAACGAAGAACGAAGAACACAAGACAGCCGTCGTAGACTGTGCGGTGTGGCCGCCACCCACGACGAACTCCTTTTCATTGGACTGGAAAGCCGACAAGCAGGGCGTAACTGAGTGGCGCGATTAAATAAAAGACATGAGAGAGCAAGGACGGGGTAGCACTTTTCACAAGGTGTACAACCAATAGATATCTACGATTCCTGGCTCCTGTACACGTCACCCAACACACCTACGTGCGCAGGGATCATTACGCACCATACCCAAGTAGCAAGCAACCACAGAAGAAGACATCCAGAGGCTTCCCTGTGGCGCATTACTGCCGTTTCACTGTGCCTTATGGTTTGAGCTCTACAGAGAAAGAAAGTCGTGAAACGAATACTTCATAGTACATCTGTGGAAGAAAAAAGAATCTGACAGCGGCTAAATGGAGAGGGACATCGTGCGCCCAGCCAAAACGGTGGTATTTGGCTTCACACCGACCATGGTTTCACTCTGCGAATCCCATCAACGTAAGTGATTCCGTTGCGTAAGAGAAAAGCCACTGCACGGCAGCACTTGCCCTTGAGCACCACTAAGCCACGTAAACATCGCCTTCACGTTTTAACAGGAAAGAAGAAAAGAAAAAGAACAAAAACCAAAGCGCCAGACCCAATCTCATCAACATCGTTTCCAGCAAGCATCACAACAGCGTGGGCGCCAACATCTCGCGTTAACGATTGACAAAACGCAAGGGAGCGAAAAGCTTTTTGTGGAATTTTTCCACCCGCAAAAAAAAAACGGAAAATAAATGGAAGCGAAGACAATCCGGGGAAAATAAAAACACTTTGATCACCCCACAAAACAAGAGTTCGGGGCATTTACGTACATCGGTTTCTGCAGCTTCCACCTCGACGCAGAAATATTTAGGATCTTCGCTGCTGTTTCACACATGCCAATAACCTCTCTCGATTGCAATAAGACGAATGTTGAGAGAAACGAAACACTAAGGCCGCTCGTGGCGAGCGTGAATATTAGTCTCCAGCTGAGTTTTTGCTTCATATAAACGCTTATTAACGTTGCTGCGCTCTGTCTCGTCGTGTATTCGGCGATCAACGCGGAGGAGGGCCGAGGTGAGGCTGCGCGACCTTCACTAGACCTGCTACACTGATGTGAGAGAGTCCCTCTTTGGAGCGTCCAGGATCTTCTGCCACTGCGCGCGGTTGTCAGCAATCGCGTCCACGCACCACTGCATCCCGTGCAGCAGACCTCCCACGATGTCCTTGAAATACTTGCCCACCACAAAGTCAATAAAGCCGATTTGGCCACGCGCCAGCTCGGTGTTCTTGGAGCGGTCGAACATCGGCAGCACCTCCACGCCCTTCTCCTTCTCCATGTCGCCCTGACGGTAGAACTCCTCGGTCACCGCCATCGCCCACATCCGCGACGTCTCAAACGGCTTCGTCACGTTGGACACGTCACCCGCCTTAATCAGCGTCTCCATCACAAGTCGTCGGTGTCCTTCGTCCTCCTTGTTGAAGGATGCCTGCACCATATCATCGAAGCGCTTCAGTTCTTCCCCGTGTTTGGCCATATCGGTGGCCAGCACACATTCGATGAGACTCTGATACGCGTACGTCACTTCCTCCTCAGTCAATCCCTCGAAGACATCGGAGCTGGGCTCGGAGAGAATCTCAATGGCGAGCCTGCAGTGATGCACCTCCAGCACAGAGCTGTTGCCACTCGCGCTCGACAGGATACCGAGCGGCGAGTCCGTCTTCAGGTAGAAGCTGTTGTTCACGCCCATGTGGTCCAGGTCGTGCACGAGCGCCGTCACGAGCAGCACGTAGCACTCCAGGTCCGTCAGGAACTCCGACGCCTTCCCGGCGTAGAGGAACGTGTGCAGCGTCTGGCACACATCCACCACGTGGTAGAAGTTGTGGTACGGCACGCGGCGGTACATGTGGCGGCACTGCAGGATGAAGGTCAGCAGCGTCTCCTTGCGGCACTTGAACTTCTCCGGCAGCCCGGTGCTCCACAGCAGCTGCAGCACAACCGCAGCGGCGGCGTCCAGCGGCTCACTGGAGTTTTCACGCACGTCGAACAGGTTGAACGCTGGCGAGGTGAAGTCGTACGCATCCTGGAAGTCGATCGCCAGCACGGCGTCGCGCTCCACTTTGCTTATGTCGAAAAGCTTCGGGGCGTTGTTCGACTTCTGCGCTCCCACGGGGGCGATGGTTCGATGAAGGTTCAGCGCCATCGCCTCCTGACCTGCCTTCACAGCAAACTCAAACAGATGACTGTTGTTGATGGAGATGCCGGCGAACAGCGAAAACACTTTGAATGTGGCTCGGTCAGCCGCAGTGAAGGATTTTACTGTACCGTCCTCGTCCAGTTTGTTCACCAGCTGCACCACGGCAAGCACATCGTTGTTCAGCACGATCGGCTCGCACAAGATCGACTGCGTGCGGTAGCCCAGTGACCGGTCCACCGCACTGTTGAAGCGCGGGTCCGCGTATGCGTCCACGATGTTCTCGCCAACAGCCGCCGCCGCAACCGTGCCGGCGATGCCCTGACCACACGGGAACCGGATCTCGCTCCCCGTCACACTGTCCGCCATGCGGCTGTACAGCTCGTTGCGCTCCTTGTCCAGCAGGAACAGCGACGAGCGGTCCGCGTTCAGCAGCTTCTTCGCACCGTGCAGCACGTGCCGCACAATCCCGTCCACATCGCGGATGTCCGTGTTCGACAGCAGCGTCACAACGTCCAGAATCGCGTCGCTCTTCCGCTTCTCCGTCAGCAGCGTCTCATTGATGCGGCAGTTGCGCAGCGATGCGGCGGCGAACATCGAGAACGTCTTGAACAGCTCCTCGTCGCGCTGCCCAAACACGCGTTGCAGACGCAGCCCGCTCTCCGTGACCATGTCCTGCTTGTTGATCAGCTGCGCCACCGCCACGATCGTGTCTTCGTACATGATCGGGAGGCACAGAATCGTGCGTGTATGGTAGCCCGTCTGCTTGTCCACGGCGCGGTTGAAGCGCTCGTCCTCGTACGCGTTGGGGATGTTCACCACCATGCCCGTCTTCGCAACGTACCCCGCGATGCCTGTCCCGGCGGCCATCACCACCACCTTGCCGTCCTCGAAGTGCGCCTCCAGCGTGCCGTCGTCCTTCACCAGAAAGATGCTGCACCGGTCGCTCTCCGTCAGCGTCTTCGCCGTGTTGATGATGGACTGCACCAGCACCGCCTCGTCCAGCGTGTCGCGGGCCAGCCGGGTCGCCATGCCCACCATCGCCTCTGCCTTGTGCGTTTCCCAGCTGAGCTGATCCACCAGCACCGCGTTGCGCAGCGCGGAGGCGGCCACACGCAAGGCGCACTGCTGAAACGTGTCGTTGGAGTTCGTCACCTGCCCGCTCAGCTCCACGCAGCCGACCAGATCGTTCTGATGCAGCAGAGGGAGAAAGGTGGCGCCCGGGGACGAAAACCGTTGACGCGACACGCCACACGCGCCAAGCTGCGTGCACGTGTCCATCGCGGTAATCGCCTCAGTGACGGGGTCGCACAGAACATTTTCGCTCTCGTTCAAGTAGTTGGTGTGGGCGGGGCAACCGAAAAGGGTCGTCAGCTCCTTGTTGAGGATGAGCGCCGTTTCGGAGATAGAACGCTGCAGGTTGAGGCAATTCTGGGCGAGCTTTGTGAAGTCGCGGAGGGAGTGGCGAGAGGAGGTCGCCTTCTCCTGCGCCTGAACGCTGTCCATTGGGTCCTTGTAAGCTTCATCAGAGACGGCGCTGACGCGGCGCTGAACGCTGTGAAACGAGTTCAGCTCCGCATCCGACATCGCCAGCCCGCACCGCTTGTACCGTGCGAGAATGGATTCACAGAGCGACAGTGCCTCGAGCAGGTGGCTGCTGCCGAAGGTGTAATCCCTGGCGGGTGGCGCACGCATTGCTGAGTACGCGAGCATCGTTGGCAAGAGAGGACGACGACAACCTTGTAGGAACCCAAATAAACACCGAAGATCCTTCGAATACTTGATGGCACCTCTACGTGTGGTGTTTGATGAGGAACCTGTTGTTGTTTTCTGTTTTACGGAAGCAATGAAAGGCGAAGGAGAAGAAGAAGGTGAGGAGAAGACGAAGCGGTGGTGGTAAGACATTCCTTTTTGGATTGCCAAGGCTTCACCGCTGCAAAGACGCCGGCTTCTCTTTTCAGGTCAGAGGAAAAATCAGTTCGCACACGTACTAGTGGAACACCCACAGCACTGTTCATTACGAAGATGCAGCAACGAGTGCGAAACAGGACCACCGGCTGTGGTGTCCTCCAACGATGGAACCCACAAAAAATACCGCGGGGCAACGGTGAAACACACCCGGTAGAACAGCTGTGTTCCGCAACGGCAACGTTTGCACGCACCCACGAACACCCTTGCGACGCTCCCAAAACCAAGCACGGATGATGACCCGCTTCTTGCGCACTCCCACTGTTCTCCCTTCATGATTCGCTCTTCAGACCACAGAAGAAGAAGAAAAAACACAAACATTTCCACGTAAATACATATCGATGAATTTCCAAGACTGTTTCTGCCCTCTCTGCGAGGAGAGACGCAAATTATGAAAGGAAAAGGAAAAGGAAAACAAACAAAGCTACATCGTCGCTGTTGTATCGCGAAAGAAACTGCGGAGCAGAAAACGTCAGAATAAAACGGTGAAATACGTTCATACTGCAGTTAGTAATATTAGAAACACATAATACGGTGTACATCTACTGCGAAGGTTGCATTAGATTGTTAGGAATGATTGCGACTATCGCGCTGCGCCTCAACGCTTACATGTACAAACACTCCGCAGGTTTCCAAGAAGAAAATCACATGATCAACCTCGTATTCGAGGCTGTGGGAAAGGAGACACGAATGTAAACAAAGGAATAATAGCGACCGCCGAGAATATTGAAAGCGCGCGAGTGAAAAGAGAAAAAAAAAAGAAAACATCTTTGAAGAAAAGAACCTAACTAGTTTAGACAGCTGGTAACGTTTGCGACCTGCCATTCACGACGACGTCATGGAGGTGCTCCTGAGCGGCGCATCCAGGATCTTCTGCCACTGCGCGCGGTTGTCAGCAATCGCGTCCACGCACCACTGCATCCCGTGCAGCAGACCTCCCACGATGTCCTTGAAATACTTGCCCACCACAAAGTCAATAAAGCCGATTTGGCCACGCGCCAGCTCGGTGTTCTTGGAGCGGTCGAACATCGGCAGCACCTCCACGCCCTTCTCCTTCTCCATGTCGCCCTGACGGTAGAACTCCTCGGTCACCGCCATCGCCCACATCCGCGACGTCTCAAACGGCTTCGTCACGTTGGACACGTCACCCGCCTTAATCAGCGTCTCCATCACAAGTCGTCGGTGTCCTTCGTCCTCCTTGTTGAAGGATGCCTGCACCATATCATCGAAGCGCTTCAGTTCTTCCCCGTGTTTGGCCATATCGGTGGCCAGCACACATTCGATGAGACTCTGATACGCGTACGTCACTTCCTCCTCAGTCAATCCCTCGAAGACATCGGAGCTGGGCTCGGAGAGAATCTCAATGGCGAGCCTGCAGTGATGCACCTCCAGCACAGAGCTGTTGCCACTCGCGCTCGACAGGATACCGAGCGGCGAGTCCGTCTTCAGGTAGAAGCTGTTGTTCACGCCCATGTGGTCCAGGTCGTGCACGAGCGCCGTCACGAGCAGCACGTAGCACTCCAGGTCCGTCAGGAACTCCGACGCCTTCCCGGCGTAGAGGAACGTGTGCAGCGTCTGGCACACATCCACCACGTGGTAGAAGTTGTGGTACGGCACGCGGCGGTACATGTGGCGGCACTGCAGGATGAAGGTCAGCAGCGTCTCCTTGCGGCACTTGAACTTCTCCGGCAGCCCGGTGCTCCACAGCAGCTGCAGCACAACCGCAGCGGCGGCGTCCAGCGGCTCACTGGAGTTTTCACGCACGTCGAACAGGTTGAACGCTGGCGAGGTGAAGTCGTACGCATCCTGGAAGTCGATCGCCAGCACGGCGTCGCGCTCCACTTTGCTTATGTCGAAAAGCTTCGGGGCGTTGTTCGACTTCTGCGCTCCCACGGGGGCGATGGTTCGATGAAGGTTCAGCGCCATCGCCTCCTGACCTGCCTTCACAGCAAACTCAAACAGATGACTGTTGTTGATGGAGATGCCGGCGAACAGCGAAAACACTTTGAATGTGGCTCGGTCAGCCGCAGTGAAGGATTTTACTGTACCGTCCTCGTCCAGTTTGTTCACCAGCTGCACCACGGCAAGCACATCGTTGTTCAGCACGATCGGCTCGCACAAGATCGACTGCGTGCGGTAGCCCAGTGACCGGTCCACCGCACTGTTGAAGCGCGGGTCCGCGTATGCGTCCACGATGTTCTCGCCAACAGCCGCCGCCGCAACCGTGCCGGCGATGCCCTGACCACACGGGAACCGGATCTCGCTCCCCGTCACACTGTCCGCCATGCGGCTGTACAGCTCGTTGCGCTCCTTGTCCAGCAGGAACAGCGACGAGCGGTCCGCGTTCAGCAGCTTCTTCGCACCGTGCAGCACGTGCCGCACAATCCCGTCCACATCGCGGATGTCCGTGTTCGACAGCAGCGTCACAACGTCCAGAATCGCGTCGCTCTTCCGCTTCTCCGTCAGCAGCGTCTCATTGATGCGGCAGTTGCGCAGCGATGCGGCGGCGAACATCGAGAACGTCTTGAACAGCTCCTCGTCGCGCTGCCCAAACACGCGTTGCAGACGCAGCCCGCTCTCCGTGACCATGTCCTGCTTGTTGATCAGCTGCGCCACCGCCACGATCGTGTCTTCGTACATGATCGGGAGGCACAGAATCGTGCGTGTATGGTAGCCCGTCTGCTTGTCCACGGCGCGGTTGAAGCGCTCGTCCTCGTACGCGTTGGGGATGTTCACCACCATGCCCGTCTTCGCAACGTACCCCGCGATGCCTGTCCCGGCGGCCATCACCACCACCTTGCCGTCCTCGAAGTGCGCCTCCAGCGTGCCGTCGTCCTTCACCAGAAAGATGCTGCACCGGTCGCTCTCCGTCAGCGTCTTCGCCGTGTTGATGATGGACTGCACCAGCACCGCCTCGTCCAGCGTGTCGCGGGCCAGCCGGGTCGCCATGCCCACCATCGCCTCTGCCTTGTGCGTTTCCCAGCTGAGCTGATCCACCAGCACCGCGTTGCGCAGCGCGGAGGCGGCCACACGCAAGGCGCACTGCTGAAACGTGTCGTTGGAGTTCGTCACCTGCCCGCTCAGCTCCACGCAGCCGACCAGATCGTTCTGATGCAGCAGAGGGAGAAAGGTGGCGCCCGGGGACGAAAACCGTTGACGCGACACGCCACACGCGCCAAGCTGCGTGCACGTGTCCATCGCGGTAATCGCCTCAGTGACGGGGTCGCACAGAACATTTTCGCTCTCGTTCAAGTAGTTGGTGTGGGCGGGGCAACCGAAAAGGGTCGTCAGCTCCTTGTTGAGGATGAGCGCCGTTTCGGAGATAGAACGCTGCAGGTTGAGGCAATTCTGGGCGAGCTTTGTGAAGTCGCGGAGGGAGTGGCGAGAGGAGGTCGCCTTCTCCTGCGCCTGAACGCTGTCCATTGGGTCCTTGTAAGCTTCATCAGAGACGGCGCTGACGCGGCGCTGAACGCTGTGAAACGAGTTCAGCTCCGCATCCGACATCGCCAGCCCGCACCGCTTGTACCGTGCGAGAATGGATTCACAGAGCGACAGTGCCTCGAGCAGGTGGCTGCTGCCGAAGGTGTAATCCCTGGCGGGTGGCGCACGCATTGCTGAGTACGCGAGCATCGTTGGCAAGAGAGGACGACGACAACCTTGTAGGAACCCAAATAAACACCGAAGATCCTTCGAATACTTGATGGCACCTCTACGTGTGGTGTTTGATGAGGAACCTGTTGTTGTTTTCTGTTTTACGGAAGCAATGAAAGGCGAAGGAGAAGAAGAAGGTGAGGAGAAGACGAAGCGGTGGTGGTAAGACATTCCTTTTTGGATTGCCAAGGCTTCACCGCTGCAAAGACGCCGGCTTCTCTTTTCAGGTCAGAGGAAAAATCAGTTCGCACACGTACTAGTGGAACACCCACAGCACTGTTCATTACGAAGATGCAGCAACGAGTGCGAAACAGGACCACCGGCTGTGGTGTCCTCCAACGATGGAACCCACAAAAAATACCGCGGGGCAACGGTGAAACACACCCGGTAGAACAGCTGTGTTCCGCAACGGCAACGTTTGCACGCACCCACGAACACCCTTGCGACGCTCCCAAAACCAAGCACGGATGATGACCCGCTTCTTGCGCACTCCCACTGTTCTCCCTTCATGATTCGCTCTTCAGACCACAGAAGAAGAAGAAAAAACACAAACATTTCCACGTAAATACATATCGATGAATTTCCAAGACTGTTTCTGCCCTCTCTGCGAGGAGAGACGCAAATTATGAAAGGAAAAGGAAAAGGAAAACAAACAAAGCTACATCGTCGCTGTTGTATCGCGAAAGAAACTGCGGAGCAGAAAACGTCAGAATAAAACGGTGAAATACGTTCATACTGCAGTTAGTAATATTAGAAACACATAATACGGTGTACATCTACTGCGAAGGTTGCATTAGATTGTTAGGAATGATTGCGACTATCGCGCTGCGCCTCAACGCTTACATGTACAAACACTCCGCAGGTTTCCAAGAAGAAAATCACATGATCAACCTCGTATTCGAGGCTGTGGGAAAGGAGACACGAATGTAAACAAAGGAATAATAGCGACCGCCGAGAATATTGAAAGCGCGCGAGTGAAAAGAGAAAAAAAAAAGAAAACATCTTTGAAGAAAAGAACCTAACTAGTTTAGACAGCTGGTAACGTTTGCGACCTGCCATTCACGACGACGTCATGGAGGTGCTCCTGAGCGGCGCATCCAGGATCTTCTGCCACTGCGCGCGGTTGTCAGCAATCGCGTCCACGCACCACTGCATCCCGTGCAGCAGACCTCCCACGATGTCCTTGAAATACTTGCCCACCACAAAGTCAATAAAGCCGATTTGGCCACGCGCCAGCTCGGTGTTCTTGGAGCGGTCGAACATCGGCAGCACCTCCACGCCCTTCTCCTTCTCCATGTCGCCCTGACGGTAGAACTCCTCGGTCACCGCCATCGCCCACATCCGCGACGTCTCAAACGGCTTCGTCACGTTGGACACGTCACCCGCCTTAATCAGCGTCTCCATCACAAGTCGTCGGTGTCCTTCGTCCTCCTTGTTGAAGGATGCCTGCACCATATCATCGAAGCGCTTCAGTTCTTCCCCGTGTTTGGCCATATCGGTGGCCAGCACACATTCGATGAGACTCTGATACGCGTACGTCACTTCCTCCTCAGTCAATCCCTCGAAGACATCGGAGCTGGGCTCGGAGAGAATCTCAATGGCGAGCCTGCAGTGATGCACCTCCAGCACAGAGCTGTTGCCACTCGCGCTCGACAGGATACCGAGCGGCGAGTCCGTCTTCAGGTAGAAGCTGTTGTTCACGCCCATGTGGTCCAGGTCGTGCACGAGCGCCGTCACGAGCAGCACGTAGCACTCCAGGTCCGTCAGGAACTCCGACGCCTTCCCGGCGTAGAGGAACGTGTGCAGCGTCTGGCACACATCCACCACGTGGTAGAAGTTGTGGTACGGCACGCGGCGGTACATGTGGCGGCACTGCAGGATGAAGGTCAGCAGCGTCTCCTTGCGGCACTTGAACTTCTCCGGCAGCCCGGTGCTCCACAGCAGCTGCAGCACAACCGCAGCGGCGGCGTCCAGCGGCTCACTGGAGTTTTCACGCACGTCGAACAGGTTGAACGCTGGCGAGGTGAAGTCGTACGCATCCTGGAAGTCGATCGCCAGCACGGCGTCGCGCTCCACTTTGCTTATGTCGAAAAGCTTCGGGGCGTTGTTCGACTTCTGCGCTCCCACGGGGGCGATGGTTCGATGAAGGTTCAGCGCCATCGCCTCCTGACCTGCCTTCACAGCAAACTCAAACAGATGACTGTTGTTGATGGAGATGCCGGCGAACAGCGAAAACACTTTGAATGTGGCTCGGTCAGCCGCAGTGAAGGATTTTACTGTACCGTCCTCGTCCAGTTTGTTCACCAGCTGCACCACGGCAAGCACATCGTTGTTCAGCACGATCGGCTCGCACAAGATCGACTGCGTGCGGTAGCCCAGTGACCGGTCCACCGCACTGTTGAAGCGCGGGTCCGCGTATGCGTCCACGATGTTCTCGCCAACAGCCGCCGCCGCAACCGTGCCGGCGATGCCCTGACCACACGGGAACCGGATCTCGCTCCCCGTCACACTGTCCGCCATGCGGCTGTACAGCTCGTTGCGCTCCTTGTCCAGCAGGAACAGCGACGAGCGGTCCGCGTTCAGCAGCTTCTTCGCACCGTGCAGCACGTGCCGCACAATCCCGTCCACATCGCGGATGTCCGTGTTCGACAGCAGCGTCACAACGTCCAGAATCGCGTCGCTCTTCCGCTTCTCCGTCAGCAGCGTCTCATTGATGCGGCAGTTGCGCAGCGATGCGGCGGCGAACATCGAGAACGTCTTGAACAGCTCCTCGTCGCGCTGCCCAAACACGCGTTGCAGACGCAGCCCGCTCTCCGTGACCATGTCCTGCTTGTTGATCAGCTGCGCCACCGCCACGATCGTGTCTTCGTACATGATCGGGAGGCACAGAATCGTGCGTGTATGGTAGCCCGTCTGCTTGTCCACGGCGCGGTTGAAGCGCTCGTCCTCGTACGCGTTGGGGATGTTCACCACCATGCCCGTCTTCGCAACGTACCCCGCGATGCCTGTCCCGGCGGCCATCACCACCACCTTGCCGTCCTCGAAGTGCGCCTCCAGCGTGCCGTCGTCCTTCACCAGAAAGATGCTGCACCGGTCGCTCTCCGTCAGCGTCTTCGCCGTGTTGATGATGGACTGCACCAGCACCGCCTCGTCCAGCGTGTCGCGGGCCAGCCGGGTCGCCATGCCCACCATCGCCTCTGCCTTGTGCGTTTCCCAGCTGAGCTGATCCACCAGCACCGCGTTGCGCAGCGCGGAGGCGGCCACACGCAAGGCGCACTGCTGAAACGTGTCGTTGGAGTTCGTCACCTGCCCGCTCAGCTCCACGCAGCCGACCAGATCGTTCTGATGCAGCAGAGGGAGAAAGGTGGCGCCCGGGGACGAAAACCGTTGACGCGACACGCCACACGCGCCAAGCTGCGTGCACGTGTCCATCGCGGTAATCGCCTCAGTGACGGGGTCGCACAGAACATTTTCGCTCTCGTTCAAGTAGTTGGTGTGGGCGGGGCAACCGAAAAGGGTCGTCAGCTCCTTGTTGAGGATGAGCGCCGTTTCGGAGATAGAACGCTGCAGGTTGAGGCAATTCTGGGCGAGCTTTGTGAAGTCGCGGAGGGAGTGGCGAGAGGAGGTCGCCTTCTCCTGCGCCTGAACGCTGTCCATTGGGTCCTTGTAAGCTTCATCAGAGACGGCGCTGACGCGGCGCTGAACGCTGTGAAACGAGTTCAGCTCCGCATCCGACATCGCCAGCCCGCACCGCTTGTACCGTGCGAGAATGGATTCACAGAGCGACAGTGCCTCGAGCAGGTGGCTGCTGCCGAAGGTGTAATCCCTGGCGGGTGGCGCACGCATTGCTGAGTACGCGAGCATCGTTGGCAAGAGAGGACGACGACAACCTTGTAGGAACCCAAATAAACACCGAAGATCCTTCGAATACTTGATGGCACCTCTACGTGTGGTGTTTGATGAGGAACCTGTTGTTGTTTTCTGTTTTACGGAAGCAATGAAAGGCGAAGGAGAAGAAGAAGGTGAGGAGAAGACGAAGCGGTGGTGGTAAGACATTCCTTTTTGGATTGCCAAGGCTTCACCGCTGCAAAGACGCCGGCTTCTCTTTTCAGGTCAGAGGAAAAATCAGTTCGCACACGTACTAGTGGAACACCCACAGCACTGTTCATTACGAAGATGCAGCAACGAGTGCGAAACAGGACCACCGGCTGTGGTGTCCTCCAACGATGGAACCCACAAAAAATACCGCGGGGCAACGGTGAAACACACCCGGTAGAACAGCTGTGTTCCGCAACGGCAACGTTTGCACGCACCCACGAACACCCTTGCGACGCTCCCAAAACCAAGCACGGATGATGACCCGCTTCTTGCGCACTCCCACTGTTCTCCCTTCATGATTCGCTCTTCAGACCACAGAAGAAGAAGAAAAAACACAAACATTTCCACGTAAATACATATCGATGAATTTCCAAGACTGTTTCTGCCCTCTCTGCGAGGAGAGACGCAAATTATGAAAGGAAAAGGAAAAGGAAAACAAACAAAGCTACATCGTCGCTGTTGTATCGCGAAAGAAACTGCGGAGCAGAAAACGTCAGAATAAAACGGTGAAATACGTTCATACTGCAGTTAGTAATATTAGAAACACATAATACGGTGTACATCTACTGCGAAGGTTGCATTAGATTGTTAGGAATGATTGCGACTATCGCGCTGCGCCTCAACGCTTACATGTACAAACACTCCGCAGGTTTCCAAGAAGAAAATCACATGATCAACCTCGTATTCGAGGCTGTGGGAAAGGAGACACGAATGTAAACAAAGGAATAATAGCGACCGCCGAGAATATTGAAAGCGCGCGAGTGAAAAGAGAAAAAAAAAAGAAAACATCTTTGAAGAAAAGAACCTAACTAGTTTAGACAGCTGGTAACGTTTGCGACCTGCCATTCACGACGACGTCATGGAGGTGCTCCTGAGCGGCGCA